GAATACTTGAAATCCTTTTTTTGGGGAATACTTGATGCGGCCCAGACTCACCCAGCCTCTACTTTCAGTGGCCCCCAGGTAAGTTGAGTTTGAGACCCCTGGTTTAACATATTTCACCCTCAGCTTTACAAAGACTTGCCTTTTTAAATTCAAGAGCCATTATACTTTCTTTTCCTAGCAAAGTAGAAATGTGTGGAACAAACAGTATATGTAATGGAGAGCGGTTAGTGACTGGCCAATTTAGCATGTGTGTGCTGTTTATCCACTTTTCTTTAAAAAGTCACTGATTCAACTAGACCCCTATCTAGGGCAAGTATTAAAGGTTCATATAGCTGTGCCTTTTGGTACTGTCCATGGGGTTTTCATAGCAAAGATACTGGAGTGGGTCGCCATTTCCTTCTGCTATGACCTGTCCATCTTGGGTGGCCCTACAAGGCATAGCTCATAGTTCCATTGAGCTATATAAGTCCCTTCTCCACAACAAGGTAGTGAAAATGATGTCCTTATCATCATGGGGGATTGGAATGCTAAAGGTAAAGTAGGAAGTCAAAAATTAACTGGAATAACAGGCAAGTTTGGCCTTGAAGTACAGAATGAAGCAGGGCACAGGCTGGTAGAATTTTGTCAAGAGAATACGATGGTCATAGCAAGCTTTCTTTTCCAACAACCCAAGAGATGACTCTACACATGGACATCACTAGATGGTCAACACAGAAATCAGATTGATTATGTACCCTGCAGCCAAAGATGGAGAAGCTCTATACAGTCAGTAAAAACTAGACCAGGAGCTGACTGTGGCTCAGATCATGAGCTTCTGGTTGCAAAATTTAGACTTAAATTGAAGAAAGTAGGGAAAAGCACTAGACCACTGAGGTGACAAATAGATTTAAGGAATTAGATCTGATAGACAGAGTGCCTGAAGAACTATGGATGGAGGTTCGCAACATTGTACAAGAGGTAGCAACTAAAACCATCCCAAAGAAAAAGAAATGCAAGAAAGCAAAATGGCTGAGGAAGCTTTACAAATAGCTGAGGAAAGAAGGGAAGCGAAAGGCAAGGGAAAAAGAGAAAGTTGAATGCAGAATTCCATAGAATAGCTAGAAGAGATAAGAATGCCTTCTTAAATGAACCGTGCAAAGAAATAGAAGAAAACAATAGCATAGGGAGGACCAAGAGATTTCTTCAAGAAAATTGGAGATATGAAGGGAATGTTTCATGCAAAGATGGGCATGATAAAGGACCGAAATGGCAGGGACCTAACATAGGCAGAAGAGATTAAGAAGAGGTGGCAAGATTACACAGAAGAACTATACAAGAAAGAGTTTAATGTCCCTGATAACCACGATGGGGTAGTCACTGACCTCAAGCCAGACATCCTGGAATGTGAAGTCAAATGGGCCTTAGGAAGTCTGAGCAACAACAAAGCTAGTGGAGGAGACAGTATTCCAGCTGAGCTATTCAAAATCTTAAAAGACAATGCTGTAAAAATGCTACACTCAATATGCCAGCAAATTTGGAAAACTCAGCAGTGGCCACAGGATTGGAAAAGGTCAGTTTACATTCCGATCCCAAAGAAGCGCAATGCCAAAGAATGTTCAAACTACCACACCATTGCATTCATTTCACATGCTAGCAAAGTTATGCTCAAAATCCTATAAGCTAGGCTCCAGCAGTATGTGGACTGAGATCTACCAGAAGTATAGGCAGGATTTCGAAGAGGCAGAGGAACTAGAGATCCAGTTGCCAACATATGCTGGATCATGGAGAAAGCTAGGGAGTTCCAGAAAAACATCTGCTTCTGCTTCATTGACTGTGCTAAAGCCTTTGATTGTGTGGATCACAACCAATTGTGGCAAGTTCTTAAAGAGATGACAGTACCAGACCATCTTATTTGTCTCTTGAGAAATCTATATGCAGGTCAAGAAGCAACAGTGAGAACTGGACACGGAACCACTGGTTGGTTAAAAATTGAGAAAGGAATTTGGCAAGGCTGTATACTGTCGCCCTGCCTATTTCATTTATATGCAGAGCACATCATGAGAAAGGTGGGGCTAGATGAATCACAAGTTGGAATTAAGATTGCTGGAAGAAATATCAACAACCTCAGATATGCAGATGATACCACTGTGATGGCAGAAAGTGAGAGGAACTAAAGAGCCTCTTGATGCGGGTGAAGGAGGAGACTGCAAAAGTTGGCTAGAGGAGATCAACCCTGACTGCTCTTTAGAAGGCCAGATGCTGAAGATGAAACTCAAAATACTTTGGCCACCTAATGAGAAGGAAGGACTCACTGGAGAATAGCCTAATGCTGGGAACAATTGAAGACAAAAGAAGAAGGGACGGCAGAGAATGAGGTGGCTAGATGGAGTGACTGAAGCAGTCGGTGTGAGCCTTAGTGGACTCCGGGGGAATGGTGGAGGACAGGAAGGCCTGGAGGAATGTTGTCCATGGGGTCGCGGTGGGTCAGACACGACTTTGTGACTAACAGCAACAACATAATTGTGCACCTGCCAAGAATCCAAAGGCCAACAGGGGCACACTGACAAGAGCTATCTGGAATGCTACTCCACTGTTGAAAGCTGGTAGGTGCCATTACTGACACTTTCACTGGTTTCACTGTCAAGCAAGCAGGCATTAGCACTGATGCAAAAGTTGCGGGGGTGGGGGAGTAGAAATAACTGCTGATGGCAATGGTGGTAAGAAGGTAATCTCTGAAGGTACTGAGGGTGCCTTGCGCAAGGGTCCTCAAAACTTGGAGCCAGCACTGCTTCCATTGAAACAAATAGTTGACTATTTTAAAATAAAACATTTAGCAGATTTGCCTAAACTCTCTTTTACTGTCTAACTTCAAAATCAGTTCACTCTCCATTGCTTCTTACTGGCCTCATAAATGGGTTCATGCAGTCCTTGATGTAATCTGGTAATATGAAGATACTTTGGGAATGTAACAGCTTGAGGAAGCTTAATATTCTGTGTAACTGTATGCAGTGTAGCAGTCTCATTATTTTAGAATGCTTTTTCTTACTAAATGAACAATTTGCTACTTTACTGAATATTTTAAAAATATCAAAGAACTATGCCTACAATTAAGGTGTTTCAGTTTATAAACTGGTAGTTCAATCATGTTACATCTACTTAATGTGCTCTGGCATCTGTACCAAATAACAGTAATGTTGTATTCAAATAAAATGCTGCAGAGACACAGATCAATGATGATTATTGTGCTTTTAAGAGTTCATTTTGGTTTGCATGTCTTTATCATCCCAATTTACTTTTTATGCAAATATTGATACTTCAGCTAGAGGAGCTGCAAATAGTTATCTCAGGTTTGGAATTTGCTAGTGCACTTTTCCCTCCTGTCTCTTGTTTTGTCCAAATGACTCAGGGTAGCTTGCTCCTTATCATTGCAGGTAGGACAGGATTGGTGTCCTTGTTGATATTCATATTTAAGTTTACCTTAAAAGCACATGGAAGTATATAGTGATAAAGAAGCAAATGATACTTTTTTTTCAATTCTTTAAATAAACATAGCAGTAAAAGAGTGTTGCCTATGCTAATAAAATGTTTTGCTTTTGATAATTACTCTTGATGTAATAACCTCACCTATCCATTTCACAAGGTATAGAATAGATTTGTTTTAATATGGCATATGCTAGCCATGATAATTATGCATGAGATCGCTTCTAATTGGTTTGCAAGTAAATACTTAGCATAGCTCATTGGAAATGAAAAGGTCCATATTTGCCTTATATTCATAGCTTATTTATTATGTGTCAAATTTATTGGTCAAATAAAACGTTGCCAGCTTGCAGGAGAATCACATGTGGAAATATTTCCCCTCTTTTTACTCAGGTTTCTAGGATCTATTTTGACTATAAATTTGGAGGAGTGCTTTTTGGGTTTAGTATATCATCTAGTCATTTTCTCAAATCTATTTTAAACTCATAGGCATCAAAAGCTATAGATCTTCCCAGATCTTCTTATGATCTAATCATATAGTTCTTTGCTTGCTCTTCTTTAAAGTGGAAGTTTAACAGGATTTTATATAATCGAGGTGATATTCGTCATCATGGTGGCAGAAGGGAAGTTCACAGAAACTGACTTCTCTAGCATTTCCTTTCCCTGACATCATTCCCATTAGTTTCTCCAAAAAGTATTACACAGAGTATTGTGAGACCCTCCTGAATGTGCTGCAGGTTTCTGAGAGGAAATAATTTTTTTTCCAGAATCACAACACTGTTCTTGTAACTTTATGGAGAACTGCTTCTTATGTTGAGACATACTTAGTCTTCTGTCTTGGACTGTATACAGTTAGTAAACATACTTCAGCATAGCCAACATATTATTACCACCCTCTGTTGTGAGTCTTGTAAATTTTCATCCTTTATGACTGTGTAATACCAAAAATGTGGCAGAAAGTCTGTTGACAATTGAGATACCAATTCAAAGGTATCCAAGATAACATGTGCCTAATAATTGTACTAATGATGTAGAGTTGCCAAAATCTTAGGATTTTATAGTCAATTGTGATATGGATATAGTTTATTGTGAACATTTTTCACTATGAGTAGTGTGTTTGCTATTGCAGTACAGAAATCTTATGTAGTAATAGCTTTGTGAGTTCACAACATTATATTCACATTTCTGAGCACTCTCGTATAACATTATAAATATAATATCTCTAACATTACCATCTATCCTGTTCTATCACTGTGTTCCATGAATTCATCTTATACAATTTAGGAAGTTGAGAGATGGGGAGAGCCAAAATTAAGAGCATGGTATACAGTGCACCAGAATAGAATTGACAAAGCTCTGTAAAACCTCTCATGCAGTATCAAATGTAGTTCAGCAGTCTTGTAACCAATATTGTATGGATTAGTGTTTTTGTATTACTTTATCCAAGTAATTACGTCTCAAGCAATATAAACATGTTATGAAGACCATAAGGCATTTCTGTGCTATATTTGAATATATGTGTGTGTTGTCTTTTATTCCAGTTGCCGGACCAGTAATAGAAAGAGCTTGATTGTAACCTCTAGCACATCTCCAACACTTCCACGACCGCATTCTCCACTCCATGGCCATGCAGGTAATAGAAGATATGATCACTGTGTTATTATTTGACAGAATAGCTATTTTTCATAATATAATATTTTTCATAATACTAGACATTTGTTTTTGAAGGAAATCTATCTTTGGGACTAAATTGAGTGAAATCTTATTAATAATTTATGTCTTTGATTTTGGCAGTAAACAGGAATAACATTTGCCTGTTGCCTGTAATTGCATATCATGGCATAATGCACTTAATCACCTTTGCTAGGAGGACTGAATGTTGCACAACTTTTGAGAAATAAAGAACCAATTTATGTTGTGTAGAAGACTTTTTATATTTTGTGTAGAAAGCTTTTGACCTTTTGAAACAGAAGGATTCCTGTTCTGCATTCCCTATGCTGTTCTCCACCAAATTTTTCTAAAACATATTGGTGCTGTTTGGTACTGCTGCCCCCATTCTGCTGTTTCTCTTGTGCTCATAGGACTGACTACAAATGCAACAGAAATGTGTACTTCCAACAGCAACCCTGGGAGTGAGTGGAAGTGCTCATTCCAGAATGGGATAAGTCAGTCAAGCCTCCTTTTACAACTTTGCTGACTTTCTCCATCATAGGGACACACATTTCACTCATTTCTGATTGCTGCGTGATTCACTAGCTTTCCATTGTGCTGGCAAAGCTGTCTGTCTGTCTATAACATTTTTATCCCTTCTTATATCTGGAATGGATCTCTAGACAGCTTACAAAGGACAAAAACCATAACAGCACTTAAATAAAGCATAGTCTTCAATATATAAAAATACACAGTAAAAGTCTTCAACTATTAAAGTACTGGATGAATAAAAAGGTTTTGTCCTGGCACCAAAATAAATAAAGCATCCATGTTAGATGTCCCAGGTACAGTGGTACCTTGGCTCACGAACTTAATCCGTTCCATGACTCTGGTTGTGACTCAAATTGGTCGTGAGCCAAGTCAAATTTCCCCATAAGGTTCAATGTAAATAAGGTTAACCTGTTCTGTAACCATTTTTTTAATCACAAAAATTTGAAACTAAATAGCAAAGAACAACAAAGTAACAAAGAGCAACAAAGATCACGGCCATCTCCCTCCCTGAGCATGATCGCGGCCATCTCACCCCCCAGCACGACCAATTTGGTCATGAACTGAGGCGTTCATGAACTGAGGTGCCACTGTATTATCACTATACTGTCCATTACCCCTAGAAGATGAGTCTAATAAGCTCTTGGCCTTTATTTTGTAAGTGGGATAAAGACCTCTTGTATCTCAGCACTCAAAACTTACCGAAAACAGCGTGCTTTTGATACCTCCATGAACTAACTGTGGTGGCTGTTTTATACAAATCGATCAGAGCAGGTCACTTGTGGGTGAGACCAATTCCTCTTTGAGGTCAAATCATAAACACTTTACCTGAAATAACTCTGCTGTTGCTAATTATTTTCTAGGACATTAATACTTTAATGTTCAGCATTTAAAAGACCAGAAGAGGAAGAACTTTTACCATACACTATCTGCTATCATGTCTGCAAATTCTGTTCAGATAGATATTCTACCCAATGCCTCCTAGGAAGCTTTTTCAGGAGTAAAGTAAGATGCATACAGCTGAGAGAGAAATTATTTGTGTTTTATCATTGGCTTTATTTAACATGCACTAGTAACCCTGCTTTGGTGACACTTAAATAGGCAAGTAGCAGAGACTCAGGGGCTTGCTTACTTCCCATTCCTCTTTCTCACTGTGAGAAAGTGTGAGATCTCTTAATTGATCAGATTTCTTCGCAAGGCATAAAAGAGCCAAGTGAGGAGAAGAAAAGAAAAAGAAATTTCTCAGAACAAATGAGAAATAAGGAATGGGGTATGTGGGAGAAAAAGGGAAATAGTGTTACTTTAGTCTTACCAATTTTGGGGTTTGATCATCTCCATGTAACTGCCACTTTCTCCCAAAAGCCTATGCGCAAACAAATGCAACCATTGGGCTGAAAAAGCTTTCTCATCCCTCTTCTAACTCATAAAGTTAAGAAAGATAATGTCTGCATTTTTGGAAATGCTGACCCAGACAGCCCTGCTAGTCTAGTCTAAATGCTGGCATTGATACATACAGTCTTGCTGAGGAACTCCAGGTGCTATAATTACACTGCCAATAAGTATGAATAGAATGTAAGCACATGCTGAAAACAGTGAGTATTGTTGGCTTCCCCATTATTAGTAAAATGCTACAATTCATTATTTCAAAGTCTTCTTCATACTGGATGACAGTGTATCCCCATGCCCTTTTTGTAAAGAAATACTGAAGAAATCCTTAGGAGAAAATTGGAAGCAGTTCAGCTACAGTGAACCATCTGCTTCTCTGATTCAAGAGCCCCTTATCTGATGTGGCTGATATCCAAGCGAATACTTAAGTTCACCAAAGAAAGTTGAAATGGTTGCCTGTTGATTATTGACAGAATTCACATCAGTATATGAGAATTTTAAGTTTTTTTTCTAAAGACCTATAGCTGAAAATGTTTAAAATAATTCTTCCTTTAAGTGTATTTCAAACAGTTTCATTTGGCAACTCAGCAACCATTTTCTTAAAACTAACAACTGTGTGTGTGAATTGCAGTTTATTTTACAAATAAGTCAGCTGTTATGAGGATATCTTCAAGGTGCAGATTCTTACCAGAATAGTTGCATAAATATTTGCTAAAAACTGCTGAAGAAAAGGAAAAATGGGTGATGCCACCAATAAATAGAAGAAATAAGAGGCAGCAGACTTGAAAAATGCTAAGAATAGATTATAGAAATTAGGACCAATTCCAGCTTTGTGCAAATTATGTTCTGGTTAGGGTCCTCTCAATCATTCACCCTCTTCAGGGTTACTGGGCAGTGAAAATCCAGTCAACGGCATAACATTGCAAGATATTAAACTGATAGCTCAGCCCACCTACTGAATGCTCCTTGAAGTGCTGGGAATGGGGTCCTAGGGTAGGCATTAGTATTTGACTTGCTATTGCTGGTCACTGGATGCTGATGCCAACCGAACTAAAATAAATTAAAACAACAAGCACAATACAAAAAGATCTAGCATTTTAAGTAAACAACTCTTCTTTAAGGTGAAATGAAATATATTTAATCTGGTCATAAAGATATTGTGTTTTATATTGCCTCCTAGATTAGGGCTCTTTTCCAGGTGAGCCCCTTGTCACCAGCCCTCTTTGCTGTCAGTTGCAGCTGATGTGAAAGAGGAATGCTGCTTGTGTAGCATATGGGGCTTGATTCCTGATGGGTGCTCTATAGACAGTTTCAAATTCTGTGGGAAAATGCATTCGGCATATTAATGAGGAGTGCAGTATATTTAATATCGATAATCTGAGAATATGCCATCAAGTTAAGAGGCCAAGTCAGTTAAGAAGTGTCACATCAATCAAGTGATTGGCCCTTAAGCAGCAGATTCCAACCTTAAGGTGTGGCTTGTTCTTTTCAGTTTGAAAGGGAGGAGAATTCTGCTTGGAATCAACTCTGTAGCATTAAGCCACATTTCCCCAATGACCAGTATTTTAGCGTTGCTTGTTGCTTTTGTTACTGATTCCCCCAATATTCTTGTTTTGTACTATAAAGTGAGCATAGCAGGACAGTTCTAACATAACAAAGGATTTAATAAGAGTCCGCTGTCTTGGTCTGCTTGGAAAGTTGAGGGGATGAATAGCCAGGACTTATGCTAACAGTATGTTTTGCAGTTTTCTCTCACATTGCCCTCCAGAGAATAGGTCCCTTCTAAGGGGCCATTTCTTCCTTTTCCAAGACCCCGGCTGGACATTACCATGTCCCTAAACCCATCTGTCTAATATTTAGGGAGAAATACAAGGTGGTTCTTTTTTTGTAGTCTCCCCTAATATTTGTCCTAATAATATTAATTATAGTTAATAAATATGTAATTATTTTATTTTGTGTGTGTAAACAGATTGGAAGCATCTTTTTGTTATCCTAATGAGAAGTAATAGATTAGCTTGACCTTAGATTTCAGTGTACAGTTATCTGTACCTAATATAACTCAGCTTCTTAAACATTCATTCTTATGAATTTGAAATTCACAATATACATTTTCCTGAGAATGTGATATCTGACACTAATAAGATTTGAAAGATTAGATGCTTCTAATCAATTTATGAGGAGTGCTTGTGATGAGCAGCACTCCTTTTGAGGTTGTATTTTTCTTCCATGTGCCAAACATTGCAATTGAGCTTATTTGATTGCTCACTGCAGTATACTCAGATCTTCATATTTTAATCATAGACTTTCACTTAATCATAGGATTTTGTTCTTTGTAGGGGGATACCTTCATGATGTGTATGACAGAGTGTAACAAAAATTACAACAGCCAACTAACCAATGCTGTATTCAAGCTTTTCCACAGTCCTTCCAAACTGCAAGGCTTCTCTGAGTCAGTGTCACCTGTAGCCCTGCATTCACTATGTTCCCTCCACCTCTTGTTATAAATCTTTTAAAAAAGAATATTTCACCACTGAAGAGTTGAAGTCTTGAAAGTAAAATACTTTTTTTCTTTCTAGTAAAGAGGGTGGAAAGGAGGCAGTATGATCAAGAGTAATGCTGCATATGTTAAAAATAATACTGCTTAGAGTGTCAGTCTTTGGGAATAGGCAGGATATAAATAAATATAATAATGTCATCTGTTGAGATTATTAATATCAATCATATGTATAATGTATATAGAACCTACAACAAGGGTAAGTGATGTATACCCAAGGATTCATCAGCACCCATCAAGAGTCCCCTTCTTCATTACTCCCCTGCACACCAACTCAAGCCACCCTGCTTTTGTGCTGTTGCTGCTGCTGCTTCTCTTTAGCTCAAGGCCTGTGAATAGCAAGTTGGTACAAATTAGGCAGTGGGGGGAATCTCTAGGAGGAGGTAGAAACAATGGCAAAGGAAAGTGTTGGTAAGCAACAGTAATGTGGTGGAAAAATGCAAAGGAGAGGCATTGTCGAGGAGGAATTGAGGAAAAGCAAGGCAACAAAATAGAATTTAAGCAGAGTCAATGTCAGGACTAGGCATGATTCAGTATCTACTGAGGACCCAGAGCCCAGCAGAGGCCCACTGGATTTGTTTCTCTTTTTACCCAGCCTTAAGAACATGCAGCCTTCACGTTCGTCTGCCTTTTGCTCTGGCCCAGACAACAGTGATAGTGAGAAGGATCAGCAGCAGATGGCATTTCCTGTTTGCTCATGTTCTTTGTCTGCCAAGCAGACAAGTGGTGGTAATGATGAAAATGAGGAGGAAAGCAATAGCAGCTACCAGTTAGAAAGTTGGCTTACTGAAAGGAGGAAAGCCATTGAAGGTATCTTGTCAAAGTGTCTTCTGAAACCTGGAATTGGCTCTAAATGCAAGCGGGCAGGAGACAGAAAAAAATCGGGGCTATGTGGAGGTAGATAAAGATGGAATCCTGAAATAAATGCCAAAAGGCCCAAATTGACACAAGGACAAATGACTGGCAGACCTCAAATGGCAAATGTGTCCATGGTCCCAAATGGTTGCCTGCCCCTGTCCTACAGTGTTCTTGTCCTTAACATTAACACATAATGTTACATGGAGTTTTACATTGTTCCTAAGAACTTTATATAGCACATTCTTTAGTTAAGAATTTGATTATCTATCTATTTTCTCAGCAGCCTATGCATAAGAGTCCTGTTTCTAATTTATATCTTTTGCATGTTTTCAAAACACATGCTTATTCAGATAAATACTTCATATATAGCACTTGAGGTACAGTTCTTAAATTCACACTTTCCCTGCTGTTTTCAGTGCTTTACTGTGACAAATAGAGTTGGACTATTAGTTATTTTTCATCTTGTGGAGATACAGCCCAGTTGGGATCTAATTAAAATTCCAGAGTCTGAGAAGAAATAAGTCACTCAAACCTGATCAGCCTCTTGCTGAGAGGTCAAGAGGCTGCTACCAGAAGAGATGCTGAGCTTTATGCATTAGAAGCTTGTTTAATTTGTTCTTTTAGAGAATCTATGTTGCTGACACCCGCAAAGGGAGTAGATAGGGGACTGGACATTTGTTTCCTTTGAACAAAGACCATGACAAGTTCCAGCATCTGATAGAGAAGCAAATGGAATGTTCTGGAGCTTTCCAGACAAACTGGAGGTCAGATGGAGGGGACAGTTGACCAGCAATGGTGTTGCTGGCTGGACAGAAGGAGTTGGAGTAGAAATGTAAAAGGGAGAAAGAGGCACACAGGGAAGGAGAGAGGAAACAGAGAAAAAAAGAGTTGGAGTAGATACCTGAGATGAAAGAGGGAAAAAAGCTTTGTCCACTAGGCAGCTATTGAGGAAGAGGGTGAGATAGGAGTGGCTGCCTGGATGCTCTAAACGAAAATCAATAAACCCTAGAGAAAGCCTCCACAACCTCCTCTTGGAGTCCCTCTGGTCACAGTGCAGTTAGAAAGAAGAGCTTTATTCCTTATTTTTAACTAAAAAGATGATCTCAAAGGTTTTACTGTCTGAAACTAGAGAGGGTACATAGTTAATGGAACTTTCTACCATAGGCTGTCGTAGCCAGCTTGAACTAAAATGGGTAAGATACATTGATGAATACTTCCAGATTCAGGTGCGGTATGTTGTTATGCTCAACATGTTTGTGAGTCTTCCATTGCCATCCATTTAGCTATTGTGGGAACAGAAATTGGTCTCATACAGCAAGGTGGTTCTAAGGATTTTATGTTACACTGAAGAGAGAGCTATCCTGATCATCTTAATGGCAATTTTTCAGAAATGTTAAAAAAATGTGTTTGTAGCTTTAGAACGGGCTCCTTTAGATTGAAATAGAATGAAAATAAAAATGAAAAAATCATTATTAGCAACTGGGATGTAAGCCATAAATATTCAGTGTATTAGATGCTAATCAAATTTGTTAATACAAATTGTAGGTTATAAATTCAGTACAAATGTTATTTTAATATCTTTTTGAACAGGTGGAAGTCCATTGGATAGTCCCAGAAATTTCTCCCCAAATGCACCTTCTCACTTTTCCTTTGTTCCTGCCCGTAGGTAGGTGTGCATGTTTTTGTTCTGATCAGCATGTAAAAGTTATGTGAGACAGTTAATGCTTTTTTTTTTTTGCTTAAAGTAACTTGTATGTTAGGCTGAATTACTTACTAGTTGGGTTCTAACCAAGTCATTGTGGATTGTTGTGTCATCCAAACCTGGGTGTTTTCTGCACGGTGTGTGTGTGGTTTTTTGTTTGTTTTGGGGGGTTTTTTGTGGGAAGGAGAAGCTATGCAAACAATTGATGACTTGTTGTAAGGTTTTTTGCCCATGGTGGGTTGGCATGTCAGGAGAAGCTGGGAGACTGATTTATCATGAATTGCCAAGATTGACTGCAGAGCCACCAGGTAAGTGCAGCAAAGCCCCCCCCCCCCCCGGCTGTTCACTTATTATATTACTAGCAACTTCCACTGATGCTGAATAGTAGTTTGGTAGGACTGTCATACATTCCTTGGCTTTTGGGGATGTTCCAATTTTTAAAATTATATTTTTTGGCCTTTCACAGGCATGCAGTTGTCTTACCTTTTTAATTTCATTGTACTTTTCAGCTGTCCAAGGGTTGAGAAGATGAGGTTGCCTATTGTAGGATTCAGACAAACCCTGTCAGAACCTGTCCTTCCAAGCATTTGCAGGCTTCCTCTTGTGTTCAGCCTGCTCTTCCAAAGTGAGCCAAATGGAAAAGAAGCATGTGAATGCTTGCACAGTCCTGGTTGTGTATCTAGCAACCTTCTTCTCATCAGCAGCCTCCTAAAAGGCATCTGCTGCTGGCACAGGAAAAAGACACTGCTTGCACAGTGATTGCTTTCCTGGCGAGTGCCCCATGACCAGCCTTCTTCAGCTCCTTGCAGTGTGGAGCATAATTCCTTGCAAGAACCTTGTGAATGCTGACTATGCTTGCCAGAAACTTGCACTCTGGGCTGCTGCAAACTCTGGGGAGCTGATGGATTTCAACCTGGATAGATTCCTCACACATCCCTAGCCTATTGAGTAATTTGCCCAAAGTTGCCAAGGACTGAGGGATAAATGTCAGTAAGAGAAAGCAGGGACATGGTAGTAGAAGTCAGAAGCACTAAAACTGGTGGTGGCAGGGGAAGAGCCAGAGGAATAAACACACCAAAAAGGTAGAGGACAAATACCTTCCTTTTTGTGATATGATCCTCTCAGTAGTAAGTGTATTCCACCTTTTCAGTACCCCAACTCCCCAGCTACTCCAGAAAGGGGAGATGTTAACTGCCTCCATTTTTGCAATTCCTTTCTGGAGTAACTACATCTTTAGCTAATGAAGTTCCCTGATGTTTAAACACACACACACACACAGAAATTGTGCACAAAATTAATGGCTGGGATATAAATTGATGTACATGCTTCATTATTGCAGGTGTATGAACTTCCCCTCTTTTTAATTCCCAGGCATTGTTTGTGTACATCACTTTCCATTTTCCTTCCAGCCCTAAAATTTGCACAACTATTCCTAAAGTCATCATTAAAACCAGCCAACAATTCAACCAAACCAATGTCAAAATAACAATGGAACAAAAAGTCTTAAGTTGGTGCCTAAAAGAAAGAAGAATGGAATGCCAGCTGAACCTCCACTAGAATTGATTTCCAGAGCTGGGGAGCTATGATTGGAAATGCCTCTTCCTTGCAATCTCCCCCTTCACTCTGTTAGCGGGAGGAATGCAGAGCAGGTCCTCAGATGAAGATTACAGTGATTGGGCAGATACATATGAAGAAAGATGCACCCTCAGATAACCTTGGCTCTCCAAGCTGTGTAGGCTTTGTATGTTATTGTGAACACTTTGAATTGGGTCTAGATGGCAACCAGCAGCCAATGTAGCCTGCATAAGACCAATGTGATATGCTCACAGATACTGCTCCTTGTCAGCAGCATGCTGCCCAATTTTGGACAAGTTGCAAGGTCTAGACGGTTTTCAAAGGCAGCCTCAAGTAGAGTGAATTGCAGTAATCTAAGTGGGAGGTTATCAGCACATGGATAACCGCAGCAAGTCTCTGCACATTCAAGTAGGAATGCAGCTGATAAATCAGCTGAAGCTGATTATAAATGCTCCTGGAGACCGAGTGACAGCACCTGAACCACAAGTGACAACTTGGGATCCAGGAGCAACCCTGGACCCAGACTTGAATCCCCAACCATGCCCATAGATTTTTCAACCAAGTAAGGTGGGCAAGAATCAAGCAAGCAGGTCGTAGGCCAGACTGATCCAAGCACCCTGTCCATATCATCAGGCTGCAAAAGCTGATTCATCCAATAGAATGGAACAAGATGGCACACAGGACTCCTCTGCTGATAGAACTGGAATAACTGTGAAGTCCAAGTCACTAAGGATCCGAGTGACTTTATCCTGAAAATGTCACCACATTTCTCACAGTGGGCCTTCAAGGGTTCAGTCAGATCTCCTTTGGGACTGAGACATAAAAAGCCCTGAATCACTTGGAAAAATGACGTGGTATGACACAATGAGGACACAATGCTGGCAGCAATAAAGCACTTCCTCACTGCCTTTACTGCCATCAGCTTGCTAATGTGCACAGGGTGACCTGAACGTTGACAGGAGTGGCTGTCATGCCAGCTGGAAGATTCCTCAAAGCCACCTGGCATCCGTTCTGATCCATCAACTTCCGGGGTGGATCAACTGAACAGGTTGCCCACCCTTGTAGAGAGAGAAAGGAGCCATTAATTCAAACCTCAAGAGAAAGTGTGCTGACCATGACAAATGGGTAGATGTTAGCTCCCCAATTTTCAGGTCATCATATTCCTGCCCAGTCAAGAAAATCAGGTTTATAGGGTGACCTCTTACATGTGTTGGGCCAGTGCCATATTTATTTATTTATTTATTTATTTATTATTTATTTATTAAAACATTTCTATGCCGCCCCTTGCCAAGGCCTCGGGGCGGCTTACAACATCGAATACAAAATACATTAAAACAATGACAATTAAAATATATACAGTAAAATAAAATAAGCTGCCCTGGCCGAATAAAATTCAATAATATTAACATTTAAAATGCTGCATAAATAAAAAGGTCTTCGCCTGGCGCCGAAAAACAAATAACGACGGCGCCAGGCGGACCTCTCTGGGGAGCGCATTCCATAACTTAGGCGCCACCGCTGAGAAAGCCCTCCTCCGAGTAGCCACCCTCCTAATTTCCTTCACTGAGGGCTCCCGGAGGAGGGCCTCTCCTGCTGATCTCAAGGGGCGGCTGGGCATATATGGACGTAAGCGCTCCTTCAGGTAACCAGGACCCAAGCCGTTTAGGGCTTTATAGGTCATCACCAACACCTTGAATTGGGCCCGGACTTCAATGGGAAGCCAGTGAAGCTGACGGAGAACTGGAGTCATGTGAGCATAACGTCCAGTTCCCGTCAGCAGCCTGGCAGCTCTATTTTGAACCAATTGAAGTATCCGGACTGTCTTCAAGGGCAGCCCCATGTAGAGCGCGTTACAGAAGTCAAGACGGGAAGTCACCAGTGCATGATTCACTGTTGCAAGGCTGTCGTACTCCAGATAGGGGCGCAGCTGATGAATCAGCCGAAGCTGGAGGAAAGCGCTCCTCGCCGCTGCTGTTACCTGAGCTTCGAGTGAAAGCTCCGGGTCGAGGAGCACTCCCAAGCTGCGGACCTTATCCCTAAGAGGGAGTGCAACCCCGTTCAGGACAAGGTTCAATTCACCTTCTCCGAAGCCGGAACCGCCTACCAACAGGACCTCCGTCTTGTCTGCATTGAGCTTCAGTTTATTGGCCCTCATCCAGCCCATTACCTCGGCCAGGCACCGGTTCAGTACAGCCACTGCCTCACCTGGATTGGTGGAAAACGAGACGTAGAGCTGGGTATCATCAGCGTACTGGTGATTCCGCAGCCCACACCTCCTGATGACCTCTCCCAGCGGTTTCATGTAGATGTTAAACAGCAAGGGGGACAAAATGGACCCCTGCGGTACTCCATGGCATAGCTGCCATGGTGCAGAGCCATAGTCCCCCAGCACCACCTTCTGGAATCGGCCATTGAGATAGGAGCGGAACCACTGCAAAGCAGTGCCTCCAACCCCCAATCCCGCAAGCCTATCCAGAAGGATACCATGGTCGATGGTATCGAAAGCCGCCGAGAGGTCCAGGAGAACCAACAGGGACGCACTCCCCCTGTCCTTCTCCCTGCACAAGTCATCGTACAGGGCGACCAAGGCAGATTCAGTACCGTACCTGGGTCTGAAGCCGGACTGAAATGGGTCCAGATAATCAGTTTCATCCAAGAGTGCTTGGAGTTGTCCCGCCACCACTCGCTCTAACACCTTGCCCAGAAACGGGATGTTGGCCACTGGTCTATAATTAGTGGCCATCTCTGGATCCAGTGACGCCTTCTTCAGGACCGGTCGGACTACCGCCTCCTTTAAAGGGGCAGGCACCCAACCCTCCCTCAGAGAAACGTTAACCACTTCCAATTGAGGCAGCCTTCACATGCAATTTGTGATCCCTCAGCACCAGGGGGAATCCCCCAACTGATTTTTGTACTCCTTATTTACCCTTTCCTGGAGTGTTTCCCACTAAGCATTTTTGTTGTTGTTAAGTACTTTACATACATGTGTTTTTCTTAGATGCACAACATACTGTCTCTCACTTACTGTGGGAATATTTTAGTTTTGTAATAGTTCTGAAATCTCATGGTTTTGTTTCTGACTATCAGTTATTTGTTATTAATATCAAAATTTGAGCACTTTTTAACCTTGAGAAACAAAGATGAGCAATTATCAAAACTCAGCATTTTGGTGGTTTTGGAATTATTACATTGTAAATAAACTGCATAAACTGCAGACTCATCCTACATTCACCTTTTATTATACCTTTTCATTTATATACTTATTCAGTGAAGTTATATATTGTTATTTCAAACATGTTTCAAGAGCAATTTAAAAGTGCAAGAACGGCATTAACAAATTATTATATGTTTTCAACAAGATGATGGTTTTGTTCCCAATTTTTATTACTGATACTGTTTCTTTTGTATAGCCATGGACACAGGGCAGACAGGTAATCAATGGAAATGGAATGATTTTGCATGCTACAATCCCAATAAGCTTACATGCTATTATAACCCCATTTAGCAAGCTGGTACTTACTCTTTGCCAATTAAAATGAATTTCTGTTATTATTACATTGCTTTTATATCCCACCTTTTTTCCTCTTGTGAGAAACCCAAGATGGCTTACATAGCTCAATTTTATCCGCACAAAAACAACCCTGTTTTGGACTGATAGACCTAAAGTCACCCATTGATTTTTGTATCTTGAGTGGGGACTAGAGCCTGGATCTCCAGGTCCCCAGTCCAGCCATCTAACCACCACACCACACTGGCTGTTAGAGTCATATAATCTAAATATGAAACAGCAATATGATGCTGTTGCAAAGAAATGCTTTCTTGAGAAGCCATATATAGCAGATGGATGCTGTTCTCTTTCACCTCAGCTGAGATACTGTGTCCAGTATCAGTGACAGAATTCTCACTTTGTGTATTGATTTTAGAGAGCCATTTACCTGATAGGAGCAACCTATGTAGTAGGTTGTTCCATAAGCACTCAGAAGTAGTTGTAACCATCTTCCCCAAAAAGTCACTGGGAAGCAACCTCTATGTTTAGGAAATCAGCACTTATTTGCTCTATGTTATTACCTAGAGTAGCATGAGTTTTAGAAAGGTCCTCAGTGTTTGAATTATCCCAAGAAGTTACTGTTTTGCAAAGACTTGGAATATTTTTCAACACATAATTCATAATAAATGGGCCAACAGTCAATCTTTCTGCGGCTTCAAAACTAATTTTGTAGTTCATTGTAATCTAGATGGCAATTCAGTGGGTGTACATTTGATGTATAAAGTGTAATACACAACAGAAAAATAGCGGTGATATTTGACGATCTGCATGTTTAAAAGCTTGATTAAATTGGGGTTTTAATTGCAGCATGGATTCTGTAACTGCAACTTTAAAATGTATGTTCCTTTGCATGAAGGTATTATTTAATAAATGCTTATTTTTCCTAATCTTAACAAAGATTTAAACTGTTTTTCTGAATGAAATAGAAGATATGGGAAACTTGCATAGTTATACTTTTTTCCCTTTTGAATTACTAGGTAGAATAAGGATAATTTAGCAATAGCCTTGTAAAGGATCTGTTGAGAGCACACTTGTTAATTGACACATTATAGGAATGTTCAGTCGCTTCTGTCTGTCACTTCTAGCTAAAACAGCAATTATACCATTTAATCTAATGTAAAAAATCAAATGCAAGGTAAACAGACATCTCCAAAAAAATTACTTCCATTAACTCCTTCTGTACTTGTTAACATTGCACTATCTTGTTGATCATGTATTAAACCGTTGGACAGTATTCCATTCTTAAGAACTGCATGTATCACAATTTTCAGTTTAAACATTTTGAATCTAAAATGTAAAACTAGCAAAAGCAATTCACAGCTATTGAACTGAGACACTGAACCTATGGATTGCTTGTTAAAATTCTCTTTATAACATTTGAAGACCTTGACTCAACCCTTGTTTAAAGGCAATTTTTCTAGGAGTCTCATGTGTGTTGTCAGTGCTAAATTAGAAGAGGAGACTGTGTGCAGCTGTTGGATGCCTGTCCTACTCTGCTTCTGAGTAGATCAGAACCAGAGGCTTCTAGCCATAGTCATTATGTTAAAACTGGCCAGCTAAGCTGGCTCTGTGATACAAAAAAGGAGTATTGCAAAGTCATTAACAAAAGATACCAATGAAGTTAGAATGCAAGCTATTAGGGATACAGTAGACGGTTCTAAACGCAATCCTTTTCCTCCTTTCCCAACCAGAAGTTAGCTCCATGGTCAGAGTGGTTCCTACTCTTGTTGGCCAGGTAGCAGGAGTGTTGGATGCCATTCATTTGGTCTGTTGTTATACTCTGATGCTGTACTATGGGACTGCTCCTATACTATTCTTTCCCATTTAACGCTGATTCTTACTCCAGATGGTAGTTCAACAGTTTTTCACTGAATCAGATGTGGCCTGGTTCTTACCATCCTCTTAGCTTATTTCTGAGCCCAGTGGCCTTGATAATTTAGCTAAGAATTCTGCCTCTGCCTCTTCTTCCAGTTCTGATTCAGACTCTGTGGTAACAGGCCTGAATTGCTATATTTCTGGAGAAGTGAGCGTAGTTCCTACATCAGTAATTTCTTTTAGCAATGATATGGTGTGAGAAGAGCCTTCTTCTGTCTTGTATATTGTATCATTCAGATTATACATCTCATACCGGTCCCAAAGTGGCATAGACCAATGTGGCCTGAAGTACGGAATACATGTGGCCTACCCCCATTTCAGATACTGGATATGCTTATGACTATAGCTATTGAACAACAGTATCTGTAGTATCCCATTACTGAAGAGCAAAATCAAACAAAATCCCAACATTATCTCCAAAACACAACTGTTAGGTTTGTGAGTTATGTGAAAGGTATTATCAGTGTCCTGCATGTCTTGTAGACCAGCTATTTATGTGGATGTTGTCTGGGAGAATCATTCATTAAAAATTAGCTCTGTATTTTGTAAACTGTGTAGAATTATACGTTCTTGATCAGTTTATGCCATTTCAGTCTGCTGAGAACTTGGCAATTCATATTGATAGACATTTTGTCTACAAAATCGTATTTGAAACATTGTACTGATGGGGTATCAAATTACTGAAATTGCACCACAGCTCCAAATGTAACAAGTATGGAGGGTTTCAAGCAGGTTGTTTCTTAAGTCAGTGAAATGTAGTGCGTTTCAAGGAACCTAATAAACAATTTGTGGCATCCATAGCCATTCATCTGAGGGCAGGGTGCATCTGTGTCAGTTATTAGGATTGATAGTTTTGTAGCTAGCCTGAAACTATTTTGTGGAGAAATGAAGTAGATGTCTAAAGTAAACATATTAGTTATTAATACAGAAGAAATCTGTTACTTATAGTTGTCTAGTAGCAGTGATAAGTAATACAGTTTGCTTCTCTCTGTAGGACAGATGGACGTCGTTGGTCACTGGCCTCCCTCCCTTCATCTGGGTATGGAACAAACACTCCCAGTTCAACAGTTTCAGTAAGTTAATTTTATCCAGTAAATTACTTATATTATGTTCTTTTTTCTTTCAGTAGTTCATGATACCTTAACTATATATATATTTTCTTTTTTGATTTCTCTCTGTGACTTATACTATTACTTGTCAACTTTACAGTCACTGGTTTTGTAACTTTAGTGGGGCTTCAGAACCATTTCGAATGTTTAATATAAACCATTCTTTCAGACCATCCTCCACCTTTTTGTATTAGTCATTTGAAATATATTTCTAAAAATAGCAAATGCATACTCTTACTAATTTCCTGGGGGCTGGTTCACACATTCATACACACCATTTGTGATTAACTGGATGTGTGAACTGTTACTATGGAAAAGCACTGTTTGACTATGTTACAGAATTTGAAAGTTCTGTCACTGGTTAATCTGAAATGACCTGTTTGGACTGGCTAATCCACACTGGACAATAAATTGCAAATGATGGTCATGCATACATAAAGTAGCACTGGAGAGCCAGTGTGGTGTAGTGGTTAAGAGCATGGGACTGGGACTCAGATGATCCAGGTTCGAGACCTCACTCGGCCATGGAGCCAACTGGGTGACTTTGGGCCAGTCACAGACTCTCAGCCCAACCTACCTCACATGGTTGTTGTTGTGGGGATAAGATGGAGGAGGAGAATGATGCAAGCTGCCTTGAGCCCTTTGTAGGAAAAAGGCAGAATATAAATCGGAAAAAAAAATTCATAACCATTGCATCTACCTTGTTTTTGTTTGTTTTTGTGATATATCTTTAGTGAGAGAGTGATGATCAATTGAGAAAATACTTGAGATTATTAATTCTGAACTATGCAAGACAGGTGAAAAATTTTGCACTTACATATATGCCCCCATATTTTTATAAAAGCCTTTTCAATATTTTATTTTGTTCAATCATTAAGAACAGAAAATGTTACACTTTTCAGAAACAGCTTTGTCCCTCCATAGTTCCTCTGCTTATGTATTAGACCACTTTCTTTCACTGGGGGATCCAGGGGTAACTGGAAGTTCCATAAGCATGTCATTTTTCTTCCCTGAACAAAAGAAATGATGCATATATAATTGTATGTTTATGTATATTAAGTCTGTACCTTATGTTGAGCATTTTCTTGAATCTATTTTGTTTTAAGTCATCATGCTCATCTCAGGAAAAGTTGCACCAGCTGCCCTATCAACCAACAGCAGATGAACTTCATTTCCTGACAAAGCACTTCAGCACAGAAAGCATTACCGATGAGGAAGGACGGCATTCTCCAGCAATGAGACCCCGATCTCGTAGCCTCAGGTAAACTTTGCATCCTGTTTCTGGTCTTTGAGATTCATTTCTGCCTGGTTTTCTAATGTATGCCCTCAGGAGCAACCACTTCATTCACTTTCAGCTTTCAACTGCTGCAGCATCATAACATCTTTTGTGAACCAACTGTTGCCGTACTAGACCTTAAAACAACCCATGGCTAGAGTTTTTTGTTTGTTGGTACTGCTTGGGTATGGGTGTTAATTTTTGCTGTTTGTTATATTTCTATTCCACCTTTTTTCCCTTCTGCAAGGAACCCATTGTGATTTGCACAATCCTTCTCCTCTCCATTTTACCTTCACAACAACCTTGTGTGGTGAGTTAAGCAGAGAGTCAGTGACAATCTTCAGGTCCAAGTGTGGGGTAAAACCCTGGTCTAGTCCCAGTTCAACACTCAAACCACTACAGCACACTGATAATCCTTAGAATGCAGTGCAAGGCCCTCCTTTCCTCTGTGATGAAACTACAGACTACTCCTTTGGCTGGAAGAGCACAGGAACTGTTAAACGCAACCCATAAGAAGATGAACTCTGAATGGCTTTACCAAGTAAATGAACTGGCCACCCTGCAACTTCAACCCTCTGAATTACATGATATAGCTTACCACATGTCTTGAGCAACCATAACAGTGGGTGGAATCATATCCATTTAAAATTGCTGGAAGCTTAATGCCATCCACTTCCATTGAGTGTTTATAGAAACATAGAAACAGAGCAAGTCAGAAGGGGTCTCCTGGGCCATCTAGTCTGACCCCCGGCTCCAGCCAGCTCTGCTGATGACGCACCTATTATGTGCATGTCTAGCCTATCCTTGAACATCCTCACTGAACCAGCTCATGTGGAAGCCCATTCCATATCCTAGGGGTCCTAACTGTCAGGAAGTACTTCCTGGCATCCAAATTGAACTTAGGTTCCCTGAGCTTTGCTCCATTGGAATGTGTCCCACCCTCCTCTGCAAGGGAAAATAGGTCTCTACCCACCTCTGCGTGACACCTCAGATACCCAGGGTGTGTGGTCCCTTCAGAGTCTCCTCTTCTCCAGGCTGAAAAGACCAGTTCCCTCACCTCATATGGCTTTCCCAGCAATCCAGCCACCATCCTTGTGGCCTTATGCTGCACCGATTCCAAACTGGCTGTATCCTTCCTGTAATGTGGAGCCCAGAAATGAACACAGTACTCCAGTTGCGGACACACCAGAGTCTTATAGAGTGGCAGTGATACTTTTCTCGATCTGAAAGCCACAGTTCAGACCATGATTCCAAAATTGAGAAAGGTTAAAAATCTATTCTAAGTAAACATGAACACAATTTTATACAGGTCAGCAAACAGGTCCAGTGATATAACACAGCATCTGGGAAGCCAAATCCATCTTCTTTAATTGAAAGTTGGAATTGTATATGATCATTTGACAAAGGACATTAATGTTGGCAAAGGACATTAATGTGGTCTCAGATCCCATGTTGGATCAGAATATGCTGTCCTACAAGTAAAAAGTAGCAGTGAGATTTACACTTCAGTGTTATATGATATTGTATCTTACTGAGTGTAATTGCACATATATTTCATTGGTATATCAGAATTGTTTATAATTAGTTAAGATAAGTTAAAGCTTGTAAGACTGAAATATGGGTAATTTCAAACCTTGCCCCAGTCTGTCTGGAATTGCAATTTTCAGATTTGTCTGTGCCCCCTGATCTCTGGCAGTTCAATATTCCACTTCTTAATGATGGAGAAATAGTATCTCCAGTTGGCATCAGTTTGAATGAATATCATTTGGTTGAATGATGCATTGATCAACTGCATCAAAGTGGGAATGGACATTGTGAAGTAAACAATAAAAGAATAATTTTGATTTCTAAACAAACAACCGTAAGTTAAATACTTATGGAGAATGCAAGCATCCATGTCTAGTCCCTGCCCCAAGTGGACAAAAGGCTGCCAGGATCAGTTATGACCTGTTGAATTAGAAAAGATAGTTCCTTTGAATTAAAATCACAATCCATACGTGTTGATGTATGTGTTTCAGAAACTTTCCCAGTCCAGTCTTAGCAAATGTTCATCAAATGCATTTTATCGAGAAAAGCCCTCAACCTTTTCAACAGTTCCCTAAGCCTCCAAACACTTCTGAAAGGGAAGATGTGAATTCCTGCCACTTTATGTAGCTCATTTTCAGAGCACTTACTGCTGTCATTAACTGCAGTTTTCTGACTTATACATGTATACACCAATGCATGCACACACACACACAAATTTAATGTCTGGGAAGTAAATAAAATGGAAATGTGTGCATCTGAGCAGTTACTTCTGGTTTATAAATTACCTTGCTTTTACTGCCTAGGCCTTAAATTAGTGCAAATTTATCCTTGAATTATTTCCCAGCCATTAAATTTGCATGCTTTTCCCTGGTCCAAAAAATGTACAGATATTCCTTACAAGTTAGTGAAAGAGAATGGACCAAACAGGGCACCAGCAACCAACAGTATGTCCTCATGGAGCCCCTGCCTTACTAGGGTTTGGGCTTTTTTTCTATGTTTGGCAGTAATCACAGAAGACAGTGCCCCAGAAAGGAGCCAAGAAACAGATGTGAGTGAATATTTCCCCTTTCTGGAGATAGCTGGAGACTTGGGGAAGTGTTGAAAAGGTGGAAGGCATGGAGAACTGTCAGTTCAATACTTTAAAATAAGAGTATTGCATTGCTAAGGGGGTGATATTAATTTATTTTGATTTTTATATACTGCCACATTCCCATTGGCTCTGGGCTGTTAACGAGAGGGTTATCTTCCCTCTCTTCCTTTAACTGGTGATTTTAACTAGATTGATAACTGTGAGAGCCAGTGTAGCACAATGGTTAGGAGTGCAGAATTGGGACTCAGAAGATCTGGGTCCTGTCCCTAGTCAGCCATGGAGCCAACTGGGTGATTTTGGGCTGTTCACTCCCCCTTAGCCCAACCTACCTCAAGGTTGTTGTGGGAATAAAATTGAGAGGAACAGGAGGAAAGTTATTTAAGGCATAACAGAGAACATTAGAGTTCTTTGTAAGAAAAATGATGGGATATCAATAAATGGTGTATATATTTGCCTGTATGCAGTATGCCACTTCTCCACTTTCTTTGACAGCTGAAACACAGAAGGATATTGACCAGGAAAGACTAGCTATGGCTGCAAGTGTTTTCCTATGCACTCGCAAAAGGCTCACTTAATAAAAAATGAACAGTTGCTGGGGGCAAAAAAGCAACACAACACAATAACCAGTGTTGAAATAGTGATAGTCACTCCAAAATGTAACATGGGTCTCTGTCACTGGTTGTGACACAGGCAAGATCCCAAAGAGTGGCAGTGAGGTTGCAGAGTGGTTCATTAGTTGATACCCAGAGCACATAGTGAAATTACTTTGTCAAATTCAGTTGACATGTCAACCCATTATGAATTGACCAACCCCTGGAATAACCAATAGGTTGTCAGGTTGACTTGTTGCCCAGAAGTTAAGCCATTCTATGGAAAGCAGTCTAGATTCAAATGACCCAAGAACTCACTGTGGTTTGTAATCCATGATAGATTGTTACGCCATGTAGTCATAGTCTAAGTCTTTGTCAAAATTATATTCATGCCAAGTTGTCATTCAGTTTTGTATAATAATGGCAGTATTAATATAGTATAAAGTCAGGTTTCAAGGAAATAGATCTTGTTTTGCAGTGAGTGTGATTTCTTTCTACATTACCTCATTCTGCCTTACTTTACCATAGAATGAGTCATAGCATTACATACCAGTTTGTGATACATGATGTTGAAATGAGAGGAAATCATATTGTTTGCATACTCAGGTAGTGACATCTGTTAGGATTTAAAATGTGTTCCCTCTAGCAAAAATACTGTTCCAAAATGTTTTGCTTAAAGGGAGAAGCAGAATTTTGTTGTTAGATCTGTCTGTCAGGTCGGCCTGTGACCCAGATATTACATCTTTTTATCTTGCTCCATAGTTTTCTAACACATTTGGCAGATGTGTTACATTCCCATTAGACTTCTGTCTCTCACTACTTTGGGATCATGAATATAAAAGCTTTGGAAATGTTTAATTACATTGGGCAAAATGCCTTAGTAGTAACTTGCTTTCTTCCTTCCACTATTAAAGGTTCGAGTAGGCTAACTTTTATATGAAACCAGGCCTGACAAGCAGTTCAATTTGCAGTATTGAAAGTATTATACATTATTTAATACACTGTATTTTTTACTTACCCAATAGTCCGGATTTAGTATGTGATGAATAATGGTGAACTAATTTATCATATGTCACACAATTACTCTGTGCAAGTATGGATCTTTATATTGGCGTACCAAATTACAATGTGCATGTGGTCAACAGATTTTCTGAATTATTCATCACAAATACAAGTAGTAATTTGTGCTTGTAGAGAGCTCTCCTGATAATCCATTGATCTTATGGATGATGCAATTTAGACTAGGAAAAAAAACCAGTTGGATGCACTCAACTTGTCTAGTTAATTGGCTTCTGTTTCTGAATTTACCAGAATCTTGTGAAATACCCTTAAATTTGCAAGGAGCAGCTTATACCAATGCAGTCTAGCACATGGGGAAGATTTTAATGAGACATTCTAGAGAAATAGCCCAGTTAAATCAATAACACCACCTGTCAGTGTGTATAAAGAAGATGAGAAAGGAAGTTTTGACACAGGAAGAGAAGAGAAGGTGAGAACATGCATAGACATGCAGATAAAAGAAAAAAGTCAATGTAACAGCTAGTTACATTTTGGTGGTTTCAGCAGATTTCTTGATTTCAGACATATATAGAGTTCCTGGGAGAGAAGATGGCTTGAGAGAACTAGTCTTTGCCACAGCTGTTCTGTGGTATTAGTTTTCTCATTTTTCTTGCATTATATAACTGATAAAATATTTTTTGCCTGTCTGAAAGACAAAGAAATCTGCTCATGTCTGTTGAAGACAGTTTGAACATAACTCCTGATTTGTAAGTATTGATAACATGCTATTGATAAAGTAATTAAAGTATTTCTTGTGCCAGTTGCACATATGACATTAACTCTACAAAATAGGAGATATATAAACCTAGATATATCTCTATTAGTTTGGCTGATGCCGTCTCCCTCATTTCTTTCTCTCTGGAACCCAGTCCATTTATCATAGCTGCCAGTAGAGATATGCCAGGGTCCAGAAGTAATCTAAAGCCATTCTAAATTATCATTTTTAATTTTCTAAGGATATCAAATACATTTGAAAAATACAAATTGAATAACAATTTATTTCTAAAATTACACAGTTTACTGTAGAGATCAGACCCCTATTTTGAGTACTATTAAATTTAACTTCTATCTAGAATTCCTTTTTGTAAGTGTATTAAAAATTTCATAGGGCTACAGTCTGCATAAGTCTTTGCAGTGGTTTTGACTTCTTTTAATTAGGTCATAAATATGTAGGAGGGTCATAAACAATATATTCTTGACTAGGTCTTGTACCTAAATGAGTAAAACGTATGCATTTTGAAGGGATCATGATGTCACATTTATCTGAGGTAAAACAGTTAATGAGAACATATTTGGTTACCTGGTTCATAGGGTTCCAAAGGAGTAACTCTGTTTGCTTCCTTTTCTTCTTTTTAATATTCAAACTACATGAGCACTGTTGTCATTTGTATTTGCCTGAGGCAGTGTGACAGACACTGGTAAATATCAATTCATGGAGGGTATACCTTACATATCTGCTTTTATGCCTGTTCATTTGTACTTATGTTAAAGTACTGATGAGTGTAGTTGGCAAATAACAGCCCAGTCATACTGCCTAGGTTTCAGCTTGGCTTAAATTCTTAACTTTTTTCCTCCAGTCCTGGTCGTTCTCCAGTGTCCTTTGACAGTGAAATAATAATGATGAACCATGTATACAAAGAAAGATTTCCAAAGGTAAGAACCAGAGCAATCTGTTTATCACTCATTTTAATATGGTACTATAGGAAGTCTGTAAATCAGAAGTAATTTCTGAAACAAAGATCCTATATTTGATGACACTGCAATGTTGTAGTGTTCAGATTCTTAAGAAAAGGACCTTGCTCATTTAAAAGAATAGTACCCCAATGTATTGCAAGTTACAAATTGCATTTGTATTGGTCTTGTACTTAAAATATGTAAGGGTTACACAAAATCAGGAAAACTAGGGGTTTTGGCACATGGGATGGAACCTCTAGGATTCTTAGAGCTTATGACAATTACTTTGACTTTTGAGGTATATGCATTGTAATACCACATCCTATCCTAAATTTCATAGTTACATGTTTCAGATGTCATGACCAAACTGGGAAAATAAGCTTTCTGGCACCTTAACTAGCAGATATATTGTAGCATAGGCTTCTGTGGCATTGAGTTCACTTCATCATACGCAACATGCATCAGATGAAGTGGATTCTGGTTCAGAAAAGCTTATGCTGGAATGCACTTGTTGGTCTGCAACAGACTCACTTGACAGGTTCTCTGGAAGTTATGACTGAATTGGATGCATTTTCCTACATCAGTTTAGGCTATTTCTAAAATGACCATTTCCTCCAATGTAAGCACTCTAGACCTTTAAAATCTCCTTTGGAGACCCTTCTCTATGTGCTCTTGCCTTAGATATTAGGAAGTGTTGGTAGAAATTAGGAAGTTTACCAGTGGTGACTCCTCTTCCCAGGTGCCTATCAGGTACCTAGGTACATCACTAGGCTAATAAGAGAAGCCAGTTGCACAATTACATTAGTTTTCATGAGCTTACAGACTTCACATACGCTCATAAATTGGTTTTGTTTGACTTGATAGCTATCGTCTCATGTACACTTCATGAGGTAGAGCAGTTCTTGGGAAATACTGTCTTTCTTTTGCAGGACAAGGAGCAGCTTAAACTAGATTGTAATATGACTGAACTTCATGACACTTGTTTGATCAGTTAGGAATGTTGGCAATGGAGAGTTTAATTCTCCATTGTCAAAATTCCTAATCACTAAACATGGTTTGAATATGTTTATCTGTAGATCTTCTGGTAGCAAATACCAATAATTATTCTTTGACACTTTTTAGGCCACAGCCCAGATGGAGGAACGGCTGGCTGACTTTATTGCATCCAGTACATCAGAAAATGTGCTGCAACTAGCAGATGGAGTCCTAAGCTTTATTCTTCATCAAGTTATTGAGTTGGCAAGAGACTGTCTGGATAAATCGCGTGAAGGACTTATTACTTCTCGGTACTTTTATGAGTTACAGGAAAACCTTGAGAAACTCCTCCAGGATGTAAGTATTTTTGCAGTAGATACAGCTGTTTCTTATTCTTGCATGCTCCTGTGGAGCAGAATTGGTAGAGTCAAAATTTATCAGTTCAAGTTCAGCTTTACTTGCCATTAAATATAATAATTCACATGTCTCCCCCACATGTAATTCCGCCTACAGTGTGCCAAAGGTAAGGGTAAACAAGATGTACAGTTAGATGCTTGTATAACAATAAACCTCCAGTCAATCCAAGCAAGTGTGCTAATATATCTTTCACTAGAGAAGAAAATATTTGCTGGCTCTAAATAGTAAGATGTTTATTTAGATCTAGTGTGTGAAGTAGAACCTCTCTGTACTGCCATTGGAAATTTTATTACACCTCAAATTCTCTCTCCAATTGTTCAGAAGAAGGATAGAGCAGGGAAAGAAATCCAAGACTTTATGTGGGATCATTTTCCCTCCATGGCAAATAGCTATAATTATTAATAAGGTTCATCACATTATCCGGATCTTAATTTATTATGCTTTTTTCGCTCTTGTGACTAAGGAATCCCATTTTAAAGTGAACACTGAACCTCCAAGAAACAAGGAGTTTATATTTGTTAGGTCTTTTGTGCAGAGTTGACTTTAACTTAAATTGTGTCCCACCTGCTAGTCCTGCTATTCCTGTCCCACCTGCTGTTTGGAATAACATTATCCTCCTATGCTAAATACCTTACATAATTGTTAATTCAGAAAGTGTATTTTGAGTTTTGGATTTTAAATTTAAATTCAATTTTGATATTTTCTCAGATAGGAACATATCTTTGTCTTTTGCTATATTCAAGAGGAGGAATGTTCTTTGGTGTCCATCTGCATTCAGAAATAGATGTGGGAAGAACTGGAAACCCATGAAGCCCAGTGGACATTAGAATCACTGAAGATATCTGAAATACTACAGTAGGGTAGTAATACAAAGATAGTCATGAAAACAGATAAGCCAATTGAAGATTCTGCTTAGATCAGGTGTGTAGGCACTTATTTGCATTTTTAAATACAGGCAGTCCCCAGGTTATGAACGTCCAAGTTAGAAACAACCTGTATGTATGAACAAACTGCCATAAAACCTAGTAATTTAAAAATTCAAGTTAAAGTCCTACTGCAGAAAATTGTTACCACCATAGAGAGAGAGGAAGTGAAAGGAGAGAGAGGGAGGACTTCCAAAGCATCACCATGCAAAGAAAGGAAGCAAAAGGGGTGGGAAAGAGGCCTCCAAAGGATGCCTTCTTGCCCTGCTCATTCAGAAGGAGAAATCTTTCCAGCATTTCCTTGGTACAAAGAGGAGGTGCTGGTGAGTTTGGGAGGGTAGGGGGTAGAGATCTTCACAGTTTTCTCACTTTTGCAGGGGTCCTGCACCCCTAGCCCCCACAAATGTGAAGGACCAACTGTATGTGATCTGACTTAGATACAAATTTGACTTAAAGATGCATTTCCCTTTTCTCAGGAATGGAACTAATTCATAACCCAGGGAATGCCTGTACCTCAAAGTTCAAATTCATAAAAAGGAAACTCCTTTTCTTTGAAAAAATATTCTTGAGAGTGTTTTATTTATTTTTATTTTATTTTTCATAGTAAACACGGATTATTTGTAGAAACAAAGCAATCAAAGATGAGTTTGGCCGTGTTTTTTTCCAGCACTGTGCCATATTTCAGCTGCAGTGGACAGGCATTACCTTCTGAGCTAAAGCTACAGTTTCTGTATCTTTTCTAAACAATAAAACTATTCTGAGAGAGAGAGAGAGAGGGTGGGGGGAATGAGCAAATATTCCAGGTCTATAGGAAAAACATAGTAGAAGAAATAAGACTTATTTGTAGTAGTCATGCATTCCTATAAAAACAAAAAGCCAGGAACATTTCCATTCCCAGTATAGATTATGTCCACAGTGTTCCCATTGTCCATTTGGGAAGTTTCCTAGTCAAAAAAAGATTTTCCCCCCAGATTTATTATAAACCGATTGAATGTAAAAAGGATCAGTCAAGCGTATTCCTAGCTTAAGAAGGAAAGAATGGGCACAGGACAGCTACACTGAGTGCTCTTAATTCCTATGGTTTCATGAAACATACTGAACTGTTCTGTTCATACCATGTAGATGTAAAGCACTGCTGTAGCTGAACTGAATATGGTAGTTCTAAAGACTCCAAAATACATTTTGGTAGATCCTATGAGTAGATTTCAGTTTGCAAAATATCCTTGCTGCCTGCACCACCATCATCCATCCAAACTCTGGTTCTGAGAGTGGAGGATTTTTAAGAACGGCATGGGATGTGTTGCTGGGGCGGGATCAATATGAATCGGGGATTCAAATGATACCTCTTTTGTTCACATGTGCAGGCATTAGGATTCAACTCTGCATGATCTAGTCTGGGTTACTAGTCTTTTAAAAAGAAGATATATTTTAATGCTGTAATACTGCATTTATCAGATAAAATTAATTATCTTTATAAAATATTTTAATCAGACTGTGTGTGTGTATCTGTATACACTGATATGCACACATACATACCCATGCGCGCGCGCGCGCGCACACACACACACATATACTCTAAATACGTTTATGATAGAAATGGGATTTTGAAAAATAAAAGTAAACAGCACACTGAATTACCCAGAAGAGGCAAATTACGTATGCCTGGTTAGTTTATACAATTTATTCTTGCAGTCTTTTAAAAGAGAACAGGTTTTTCTGCCCTGTCAAGCACAGGGCAGAGGTGTTATAAAATTACATTATAGTACAGGGGTGGCCAAAGCAAGGCTCGCAAGTTCCATGTGGCTCTTTGAGCTCACCGCTTGCTGCCACCAGTGGGCACCCACTTGCAGCTCTCAAACAGCTGACATTTACCATATGTAGCTCTTCTGTTGAGCAAGTCTGGCCACCCCTGTTATAGCAGCTAGTGTTACCCACTTAAAGTGAAAACCTAATGGGAACTGTAATTCTTAATAGAATTTAAGTGCAGATGTTTTGGTTCTTGTCTGGAGTTTTCTGTCTTGATCCATATCAGTATATTAGTTCAGTTACACAGTTGTGACTTGAATATAACTATTGGACCTACTAAACCCCAAGGGAGGACAGTGATTTTAATTTCATGCCCCAGTGGTTACACTTAGTGACAGATGTAAATAGTTGCAAATAGTTGTGGACTCCATGCACCACACATATATGGGTGCTGCGCCTGCGCAGTGCCTGTTGCCGGGAAGATTTAAGAGCTCTAACGGTTTTGGCAGGAACTCTGCACCCCCTGCATAGTATAAATGGGCGGAGTGCCAGCCCCTTCACCAGTCTGCGATCGCTGTTCGCCATGTCTCAGGCCTTTTTCGCTTGTCTCCTCATCTGAAACTCGTAGTACTTACTTTGTAGTACTCTCTTCAGTTATTTCTGAACTTCTAACTTTCGTCGTACCCCTTTTCCCAGTTGTTCACTACCCCTACCAAACCCCCACTTTATATCTTTTCCCTTCCCCCCCACCCCCTTTCCAACCCCCCGAATAAATTAAAAAAAAATAAAAACCCCTTCTATCGTCTTAACCTCACACTTTGCCTTTTTTCCTTGCTGCTAAACTTTCCTCCTCGTTCACCCGATGGCACAGCGGGTGGCTTTCCGCAAGTACGCTCAGTGTGGAGCTAAAATGTCTCCTGCTGTCCCGCACACCCTATGTCTCCTCTGCTAGTAGAGGGACATAGAACTGACAAGTGTAAGTTGTTCACGAGGCAGGCTCGGAAAAACCAAGGAAATCGGCTGCGCGCTGAATTGTGATAGATTATAACTCACAGTTATTATAATAAATATGTGAACCAAATTAAGTAGTTGGTAATTTCCCCCCATACAATGGAGTGATGTATACCTCTGCTTCAGTGCTTATAGTGAGCCCAATGTATACATTCCATAGTTGGTTGCAGTTGAGAATATCAGCTGTAAATAATTTTCCAACTTCCTTAGTGGTGGCTGTGGGGTTTGTTTTGTTTTTTGTGGTCGGGGGGCATTATTTCTTTGTACAGATTTTTATTTCTTGCAGGAACATATGAGTAAGCAGTTTTCCCCCTGTTCATTTGTTGATTAACTGTTGTGCTGGCAAGGTCCTAGGAAGTTCTTAGATTATTTACACTGTTGTCAGAGAGCTTTGGCTAGTGGAAATAAATTAAATAAATAATCTGATCTTTGAACCCTGTTTCTGAGTAAGGTTTATCATTCTAGAACTTATGTAGTTGTTCTTAATGCCTTTGAAGAGTACTGTTGAAGAATAAAATTATCTTGTATGTTTTTCATATAGCCTTTATTAAACTGAAAAAAAATAGAAATCAGTTTTTTCTTCCTTTCTCTGTGTAAGGAAGGCTGTAAAAAATGTGCAGGAGATTTAGTGTTTAAATATTATATATCAATAAAATAATATGAGAGCCAGTGTGGTGTAGTGGTTAAAGAGCATGGGTCTGGGATGCAGACAATCTGGCTTCTAGTCCCCGCTCAGCCATGAAGCCAACTGGGTGACTTTGGGCCAGTCACAGACTCTCAGCCCAACCTACCTCACAGGGTTGTTGTTGTGGGGATAAGATGGAGGAGGAGAATGATGTAAGCTGCCTTGAGCCCTTTGAGGAAAAAGGCAGGATATACATCGAAAAATTAATTAAATATATATCTAAACATAAAACCCTAGTATTTTGGCATATAAAAAAATTAACTAAATAAACAAACCAGTTGTGAGGAACATCTCTCTTTCCACCTTTTCCCACTTTCCCACCTTTTTGTCTAAGGTGGGACCTTTGACGAAACTTTACAAATGGAAGCCTGTATTTGAACTCTACAGGTTATAAACAGCATAAATCAAAGTAATGCTCCCTTTGACACATGGGAGTGAAAGTTGCCCTTGTGAACAGTTGGCTTCAAAGTGGAGCATCCCTGTCTTCTCTCCCTTTCAGAAAGGTCCCGACTCCATTCTTAGGGTGACTTCCACTGTTTGAGAGCTAGATGGTGGAAATGTTGGATGCTTCATTGGTCTACTTAGTCTGCCTCCTCTTTACAAAGCCAAGGAAACTCCCCTTCAATTTCCAACCTTCCTTGTTCTGAAATATCTTCATCCTTTTCCAAGGCATTCTGGTTCTCCTGTTCTGTCTGGGTATCTTTACTTTGTAACCATGAAACTGCCAAGTCATCTGCCTCTCTCCTCTGAAGCTGAAGAATCCATCTATCCATCTGGAGAGACTGTAACTTGTGGGAGCTGGGTTCCCTCTCTACACCAGTGTGCAATTAATTGAAAGCCTTTGCAAAGAGTTTTCAATGAGTTTACTAGTATAAAGCTTCTGCAGTATTTCTGTGGCTTGGCATAGAAAGCGTTAGTGTTAATTTTTTTGACAGTATAGAATACGTGCAAAGTTAATTGCTGCTTGCTTATGTCATGCCTTGGTAGCTTTCACACTTAATGTATGCAGGGCCAATTCTTTGTTTAAACCATGATGTGTTGTCCTTTCCACAGGCTCATGAGCGATCAGAGAGTTCAGAGGTGGCATTTGTTACACAGCTAGTGAAGAAGTTGATGATCATCATTGCACGACCAGCACGATTGCTAGAATGTCTGGTGAGTAAAGAGACTTTCAGGAGGTGTAGCAGTAACAACACATTCCAGGCATCTGAAATGTAAATCCAGTAGAAATTACCAAGTTACTCTGTGAGCTTCAAGACTGAAGAGGGACCAAAACCTGAATCTCCCAAATCACAGTTAAGCACTTTTACCTTTACACCACACTGATTTCTATTCCTAAAGAATCCCTGGCAGGTACATTTTCGCTATTAAGGAAGCAAATTAAAGATGTTTCCTGGACAGAATTTTTATGGTTTGACAGCTTAAATGCTTAAAACATTTCTATAGTAGACTCAGGTATGATATGCTATGACTGTTTCTTTCTGAGTTGGAAAAATTCATATTTTGTACAACCCCCTCTCCCCCAGAAATTGGTTAAAATGGACCACTTGTGCTGGAACTGACTTATATCGATTTTAATTTTCTACTGTCTTGTGACTCAGCCTTCCCCAGCCCTGTGACCTTCAGATGGATTTGTTCTGCAACTCTCAGAATTCCCATGCAGCTGGGCTATTGACTGGGAATTCTGAGTGTTGCAGTCCAAATGTGTCTGGAAGGCACAAGGTAGGGGAAGGATGTTTTAGATGTTTTGTACTAGAAGTGTCAGCATCCTGACCTGTGACTAAAACTGACGCAGGCAATGAGAATTGATGTCTATAGATAGATAGATAGATAGATAGATAGATAGGAGACTATCAAGTTGGGGCTGGTTAATCTAGTTAAAAATAATAGTCCTCGATCCAAAAACGACTTAAGAACACCAAATAACTTTAACATTTTCAAGTAGGATTTTCTTCCTCTGAACAATAGACCACCATTCTTCTGTTTCAAAAATCGTTTGTAGATTCTGTGAGCTAGACTCCCTTAACTCATAAAATTAGGTGCACCCTTCTCTGAATCCTGATCACATTGTTTACATTAGGGTTGGAAGGAACCCTACTGGAATCCATCCTTCCAAGTATTCTCAGGTTTCCTCTTATGCTTGGCCCAGCCTTCCAAAGTAAGCCAAGCTGAGAGGTAATCTGAGAATGGTCACAGACCTCCAGCTACATAATTGGCAACCTTCTTTTGTGTCAGGTGCAGCAGTTGAAAGAGCAGCTGCACATGGCATGGAAGAGGGCTACTGCTTGCATAGTGGTAGTGCAGGCCTGCTTCCCTTGTTAAGAGCTCTGCGAACACTGGGTGTGCTTGCCAAGAACTTGGACTTGGGGCTGCTGCAAAGCAGTCTAGAGAGCCGAGCCCAGGGAATCCAGTGGGACCCCACCACCAAACAGATTCCTTACACATCCCTAGTTTGCATAGGAATATATCTAAGTATTCTTCGTCGTGGCCTCTGTGCATCACACACATGGGTTCTGCGCCTGCGCAGTGCCTTTGGCTGGATAAAAATCACACTCAGAGAAAATGAAGCTAGATGAAATCTTTAATATCCAGACTGCATTTTCAGGGTAGTGTTGTGGGAGTGGAGGATTAAAATGTATTGCACACCTTCAAATTTTTTCCCTGATTCTGTCTGCTTGTGACATTTCTGAAAATGTAATCCCAAAAATATGACTAAATAGTACTGTTCTAGTTTAGTTGTTTTAAAAGTGATCAATCCCTTTTACCAATCCATCTTTCTTGCAGCTCAGTTTACTTTACCATGTAGCCTAGTGGCAGTTTCATCTTAATGTCTTAACAATATAAATCAAGTAATTGGCCTCCTCCTCTTAGTATTGTTGCTTTCCAGTAATAATCAAGAGCATTTGGTTTCATTCATCTTATTTCTTTGTATACCATAGATAGACAGATGAACTCTTAAGTGTTCAGAATTGATTTCTGCAAAAGTTATATATGTAGCAATGTGGATTATTTATGGGATGACACTACTGACTGTGTTAATTTGAAGGCTTAACAATGAAGGGTAGAAATAATTTTTAAGTGCTTTTAAGGGAAAAAAAGTATTTTCTTTGGTCTTCATGCCTTCTGTGCCAGACACCAAATGCTAAAACAATAACATAATATTACATGGAACACAACCAAACAGAGCAGCTTTGTTCAGTAATGTAGCTGCATTCACTACAAAGTTGTGTGCCAGGCATTAAAATGTGTGTGAGATCCTCAAATAATTAAATTATGGAAGCATATCCAAGAAATGCTAGTGAGAAATGCAGTTGTGTAAAAATGCTGAGATAGCATTAGGAGACCTGGGCAATGCAGCACAATTTCCAAAGTTTTAAAAATATTTGACACTGTGATGCAGGATGTTTGAGCAAGTATTGAAAAATGTTGAGAATCTGTTATTATCAAACACACACTGCATGTGCAAAGTAGTACTATTATTAATCTTGTTGCTTTATTCTTACAACCAGGTCATATACCTGTTTGCCCACAGTATACGTTTTGCACATATTCCTTTCTTCCTTATAGAGGGAATGTCTTTATAATATTCTCATATAGGATTGGTTTATGACCAGCAGTCATAATGCTTCATGAAGTTAAGTATAGGAATATAGAAACTTGCATGTTAGACAATTTTGTCTTTGCTTCTTTTTAGAGTTCTTCTTTTCTGATTCATTTGGCCTTGGTCCACCCTCAAAAACAGAACAGGAAAGTAAAATGAAATGGCCATTTCTTATATAATAAAGCAAGACCTGATAGTTACTGAGCAAAGTTAGAGCAGTTTTGTTTCATGAGGTGAAAATGAAATTCCTTTAATAGGTATTGCATTGCATTTATACTCCATCTACCATATTTTTCTGTCTATAGGATGCCCCCATGTATAGGACACCACCACTTTTCTTACCAATCTCTGAGTGAGCAAGCTGGTGCGCGTGTGCCCACCACTTCACTGCCTCCCCGTGCCAGTCTCCCCTGAGCATGCCTGCGCCAGTCCCCCCCCCCCCCCCCCGCCCCGCACCCGCCCCCCCCCCCCCCCCCCCCCAGCATGCCCACGGTTCTCCTCTCGGGCCCCCATGTATAAGATGCCCCTCCAATTTTAGGTAAATATTTTTAAGAAAAAGTATCATCTTATACACGGAAAAATACAGTATTTCCAAAGCAGCATACATACAGCCCTTCTCTGTAAATATACATATTTGAAAAATGAGCAAAGAAACTCTTCATTAACTCAGTTTATCTGGAATAATCCATTAATATAGTTAAGAAATTAACTGTAGCGTAAGCATGCTTATATTCCCATAATTTAATATTAACTGTGTAATTCTTGAAGAGAAACTTAGTATTTATGTATGGTTTAAAATATTTTTCTAAAAAAATCTATTCTTTGAAGAAAAAATAATCAGCTTGTAACTGTCCTGTACATTGCACTGCATATTGTGTCACAGCTGGGCCCTTTTACAGTACTGAAATTGCCAACACCTTCTGTCTTGCTGAGCATGCCTTTGGATTAAGCACAAAAGTTTGCTATTAGTTGTGGCTGTTAAATATGGCCCTGAACTAAAAGTCTGGCTCTGTTGGGTGCATTTACAGATAGGCTTCAACAAGCTGCTTTTGCAAAATGGGAATAAAAGGAGCCTGTCTCAGGGTAGCTGTGAGGCTGAATGATACAAATAATATTTTGTGAGCCTTGGGAATAATGTAGTATAGCAAATATCATTAATATAGTTCTGAATAGATAGAATTAAAATCTCTCGTTGTTTGCCTTCCTTGTTTTTTATTCTAGGAAATTCTTTGGATCTTGTCATAATTCTTCTGCAGAATCATTTTTCCCTTGCTCTTACTTAGCTTTAATAAGTTAAAATGGCACAACTATAGTCATTCTCAAAAATACATAGCTTGCTTTATATTTTCCTATTATAGAGATAAGTACAAAATCAGTGCACCTGATTTTCTTATTCTTACCATTGTTAAATCATCATCAAGAGTTACATGCTTTTGTTTTGGAAATCAAATTAAATACTACTTTTTTGTATGCTGGTACTTTAGGAATTTGATCCCGAAGAATTCTACCATCTGCTAGAAGCTGCTGAAGGCCATGCCAAGGAAGGAGAAGGAATTAAATGTGACATTCCTCGTTATATTATTTGCCAGCTGGGCCTTACAAGGGATCCCCTTGAGGGTGAGGATTTTATATTCATAGGTCAAATGGAGCACAATTAGGTTAAGTAATACAACTCATACTTGTTTTTTATTATGTTATTATGGAGTAGACTAATTTCCACATTATGACATTTAATGGATGTATCTGGTAATATGTGGGAGGGAAATAATTCTTTTACAAGCAGGTATAAACTGAATTCATGCTGTGAGAATAGCTAGTGTTAAGGAAGCCATATTGTGTGTATTTGCATGTGTGTATATAGTGTACATATCCCACTGCAGTTTTTAAAGGATACACATTGGGATAGATCCAAAGTTGTGCATATAAGAACTATACAAATTGGAAGATCCTGTAGGCAAGAGAGGAAGTGATTTTTGTCAATTGCTCCTTCTCCTGCAACAACCCTCCCCAGATGTCCCTAAAAATACAATCTGGAAGGTAGGGATGCCTTTAGAACAGTGTGTAAGATGGTCCTAGGGGCTGCAGGGGGAAAGAAAGGTGAAAATCGCCACCTTTCCCCATTCTTCCCTCCAGAAATTTCCATTTGTGCAGAGTCAATTCCAGAGCCAGTCCACTAACTATGTGGGTGTAATTGTCTTTTTGTAATATTTTTTATCTCCATCTTTAGATTCTACAGCATTCACTGATCCTAAAAATCCAGTCAAACAGTGGCTTTTCTGGTGTATGATTTGCTCCAAGACATTATTAACACCTGTAAAATAGATTTGTATCCATGTGTATACTTAATCACTACACGAAAACAAAATAGAGATGCTGCAGTTTAACTTATCTGAATGTTTAGCTTGTTTTGAATGTTTCAAAACTGAGCGGAAAAACCAGGTTTAGATAAGCAGACATGCTTTTACCTAGGCAAGGTTCAGTGGATTTGTATTGGAGATTATGCAGACCAGTCTTGCAAAATAACTTGAATTTGCATTATTGTCAATGGAATTTTGCTTAAATGTCATGTGTGCCATTTCCTGAACTCCTCCCTTCCACACACAGTTATTCACAAGTGTTTCACATTCCTGGATTACTTTCAGGATCAACTGTATTTTTATAATACTGCCTAGTTGTAATATTTCTAAATTTGCATTAAAAGGTAGGGAAGGAAATAGCCCTGTTCTGTCAGTTTCTAAAGGTTACAAGGGCAAAAATATTGTGTAGTTAAGCATTAAACCACCGATGAGAAGTACCAATTCAGTGTACCTTCTTATTTATAAATATATGAATTTTTTGCATCAAGTATTTCAGGGACTCTTCCCCCCCCCCCCTCTCTCTCTCTCTCTCTCTCTCTCTCTCTCTCTCTCTCTCTCTCTCTCTCTCTCGCGCGCACACACACGCGCACACACACACACACACACACACACACGCACACAGAATTTGTGTTTTAACCATACAAGCATGTTTCATTTTTGTAACCAGCTGTGTATTGAAAGGGGAGAGGTTGTATTTTTTTAATTGTGCAATACAAGAGATAAACCAAACCAAATCCATTAGGGCAGAATCATAGAATAGTAGAGCTGGAAGGGGCCAGGGGGCCATCTGCTCCTACACCCTGCTTAGTGCAGGACTCCAAGTTAAACTGTTCTTCGCAGTTGTATCTTGAATTCTCTTCTCATGGCTAAATATGCCCAGTTATTTCTATCTGTCCTTGTTTCCAGTCTCCTGATCATCCTTGTTGCCTTCCTCTCAAACCTTTCCGGCTTGTCTGCATCTTTCTTAAACTCTGGTGCGCAGAACCAGATGCAGTACTCTGCTGGATGACACAATGAGGATGTGATGCTGGCAGCGATAAAGTGCTCCCTCACTGCCTTCATCACTATGAAATATGCTTAATAATCAGCACTAAGCCTTGTTCAGTTGGACTCGTTTCATGTTCTCCTCCAACTGTGCTCTATCTCCCCTCTTGCTTCTTTGCCCTCAGCTCTGGTGTACACCAAGGAGCCCGCCAGGCTCTGTGAGAGGGGAGAGGGCTTGTGGGAGTGATCATGTCAACCACCGGGCCATCTCTGTATTCCAGAGTGACCTGGGTGACAACAGGAGTGCCAACCATGCCAGTTGGCAAATTCCCTAGAGCTGCCTGGAACTACTTGGATCTATCACCCTCTGCAGGCGAACCAACTTACTGGATCCTGCACCCCTACAGAGGGGAGAAAGAGCCCATTAGTTCAAACCTCAGGAGGAAGTGATCTGACCATGACAGAGCGGTCAGTGTTAACTCCCCAATTCCCGGGTCACCATCTTCCCGCCCAGTCAAGAAAATCAGGTCTAGAGTGTGACCTCTTATATGTGTTGGACTTACAACATGTTGAGACAGCCCCATGGTTGTCATGGCTGCCATGAAGCCCTGAGCCACCCCAGATAAGGCAGCCTCTGTATGGAAGTTGAGGTCCCCCAGGAGCAACATCCTGTGGGTTCTCAACACCAGGCTGGAGACTACCTCTGCCAGCTCAGGCAGGGAGGTTGCTGGGCAGCAGGCTGCATGGTAGACCAGCAGGATCCCGAATCTGTCTTGATTGCCCAACACAAGGTAAATACACTCCAGGTCTGCTCTTGAGTGAACAAGAAGCCTTGTGAGGGAGATGGAATCACAATGAACAATGGGCACCCCACCTCCCTGGGTCTCAAGGCAATGTTGGTGTTGTACCAAGTATCCAGACAGACAAAGCTGGGACAGGGTAATCCCACAGCCTCGTCTGCCCAGATCTCGGTAATGCATGGTAGGTCGGCCCCCTGATCCACAATTGAATCATGGATCAGTGAGGTTTTACTATGGGTCGACCTGGCATTAAGCAACAGCACCTGATTGTTGTTTCATATTCAGCTTGTGATCTACAACAATTGCAAGGTCTTTCTCACTTGTAGGTTTGTTGTGGCAGCACAAGATTTCTCCCTCAGTTCAGTGACTTATATTGGTCTCATACAAAAATTTCTCCATCCCCTTAGGTATGGAGAACAGTTTAAAAAATTGGTAAATTACTGTGTGAGAACGAAGGGCTGCATGCTATTACTTTAGACTGTTCATTTTTCTTTGTGTGTTTTTCAGAAATGGCCCATTTGAATAGCTATGATAGTCCTGACACTCCAGAGACAGATGATTCCACTGAGGGAAAGGTACTGATTTTAAGGGTCTTGTTTTATAATCCATTTCAAAAATATAATGACACAATTCCATATTAGCATGGTGTTAATAAAGTAGAAATGCATACTCAGTCATTTTCTAATGAAACTACTTGAATATTCTAGCTATGATATTTTAAACTTGTATAAGTAGTCTTAAATCAAATGTATTATTAGAAAGTCTTTAAAAATAGAGAAGTTTTGGTTGACCAGCCAACTAGAGCTTTACTAAAAAGTTCGCATGACACAATACTCATTCTGCAAATAAGCCACTCAATGCAGGTTCTTAATGGAGAAATCTACAGCATGCCTAACAGATGAGTGAATTCCCTATGGGTTCCCTCCACTTCTTAATCCTCTTGTCAGTATTCCAGGGGACTTTATGGCTGATCCATTCTTGTTGACTCTCCCTGCTCCAATTGCTTGCCAATGTCACTCTTCCCACCCATTTTTTTTTACAGTGTTTCCCAGGGAGAACCCCTTCCAAGTACCCACACAGCATATTGGAGTAACTGTCACTGGTTTGCCATCATTTTTCAAATTATTTTTAAATGCGAGAAATGCAGTCAGATTATTTTTAGGTGCTAGAAATGAAGCCATAAAATCTGTTTAGCTGTGCCAGCAATGCTACTTAAAGAAAACAAACTGTAAAGTGCTCACTGAGAGAGGTGTTTGTAGATCTTACCTTTTGAAGTACCTAGAGGTTGTGGAAAGTGTGAAAAGGGTCAAGAGGACTGAGAATAGTCAGAACAATCCTATAAAACTAGAGGAACACACTCAAAAAAAAGGAGATTTAGTCACTCTCCTCTTCCATGAGCTAATATCCCCTCATTGCTTTGTTTTCTCTTTACAGCTTATGGTTTGCTGCCTGTCAAGTGAAAAGCAAAGAACAAATTAATCTGTGCCCACAGATTAAAGTCACTAAGAGAGCTTCATGGCTGAATAGGAAAGAGAACTAGGATTTCTCAAATCCCCAGTGCAACAATCTAAACAGTTCATTGACAGTCTGCCTGCAACCTGAAATTTTGAAATGTGACTCTTTCTCTACTCCCAGAGTACATGTGCATATATGCAATATGTCAACCAGAAACAGGGATAATTCTCTCTATGGGAAATATTAGGAAAGAGTAGCAAAAATATTTTTTCTGAGGTAAAAGTGTTAGAATATAGTTGAACAAAAATGTATAGAAATACCAAAACACTTCTGAAACAGAATTGTTTATGGTGATGGATGTCAGATTTAAATAGATGTTGCTAGATTACTATTAAAAGGAGACTGAAAGGTATTTCTGTTGTTTTTCAGAGCCGGGGAGCCTCTGCGCTAGTCAAGAAAACTCCATCTGAAGAGGAATTCGAGACTATTAAGCTGATCAGCAATGGGGCCTATGGGTAAGGATGCATTAAGCAGTGTTTAGTAATTCCAGCAGGAAGTTATTTGCAGTCTAAAAAACCAAATAAAGACAATGGGTGGCATATCTATGATTCAATCTCCCAATTATTGTTTGGATAAAGCAGCTACTGGAGTATATCATAGAACAGTAGAATTGGAAGGGTCTACGAAGGTCATAGGGTCCAACCCCCTGCTTTTGCAGGTCACCAATTTACACCATCCAACTTAAATGACTGCCCAGTTTCTTTTTGAATGTCTCTGTTGTGGGATAGTCCACGACCTCTCTAGGCGACTGGTTCCACTGTCGTATCGCTCTGACAGTGAGGACACTTCCTCATATCTAGCCTGAATTTGGGTTTTCACAGCTTGAGTTGATTATTCCATATCCTGCACTCTGGTTTCAGCAAGAAGGTATTCTTATCTTCTTCTTTGTGACACCCTTTCAAGTACTTATACAGGGATATCATCTCTCCCCACCCCCTGGTCTTCTCTTTACAAGGCTGAACATGCCCGGTTCTCTCAGTCTGTCCTCATAGGGCAGTGTTTGGACCCTTTCTAATTTTTCTGCATCTTTCTTAAATCTTGGTGCCCAGAACTAGACACAATATTCCAAATGATATCTGACTAGTGAGGAGTATAGGGGAACTACTATTTTCCTGATTTGGAAGAACTGCTTCTATTAATGTATCCCAAAACAGCATTTGCCCTTTTTGCAGCTGCATCACATTGTTGGCTCATATTTAGTATGTCAAATTGCAGTTGTAGGTATGTTCTGTTTTCCTGTTCTGAATCATTCCCTAACCCTATGCCTGAAGCATTGCAGTAGGGGAAAATGCAGGTTCCTAAGTGGGCAGTACAATTCTTATTTGAACTCCTGGTCCAATAAGAGGCTTCCCCCATCCTTGCATGGTTAAATTCAATCAAGCCTACATTGGAGATTCTTAATGCTTGTGAGGGGTATACTTCTGTGGTAGAGCACAGAAAGTCTAATAAACTTTGCATATAGAAAGTCCTGGGTTCAATACCCAATAGCTCTGGGTAAATCTAGGGAAGAATCTTGCCTGAAATCCGGAGAGCTGCTGCCAATCAGAGTAACAATACTTGGCTGAATGACCAGTGATCTGACTTGGCCTAACATAGATTCTACAATTATATGTTTCGGCAAAAGTTGAACGAATTTAGAGCTCTCAAGCTGTTCCTTGACACCTGATCATCAGTGTTACATTTTAACTGTTATGCTTGTTATACATTTGCATTAAGATCCTTTATTAAGCATGAATAATAGTACATGTATGCATGTAGTAGCCATATTTTTCAGGTGGCTACCACATCAAAAATGCCTGATTTTTGGACCCCATGCATCGGGCATCATTTCACTGAATGTCATGAAATGTTGCCATATGTACTCACCCATCCTGCTACCTACAGTATATCACAGAAGTGAGTACACCCCTCACATTTTGTAAATATTTTATTATATCTTTTCATGAGACAACCCTGAAGAAATGACACTTTGCTACAATGTAAAGTAGTGAGTAAGCAGCTTGTATAACAGTGTAAATTTGCTCTCCCCTCAAAATAACACACAGCCATTAATGTCTAAACCACTGGCAACACAAGTGGTACACCCCTAAGTGAAACTGTCCAAATTGGGCATTATTAGCCATTTTTCCTCCCCTATGTCATGTGACTCGTTATTGTTACAAGGTCTCAGGTGTGAATGGGGAGCAGGTGTGTTAAATTTGGTGTTATCGCTCTCACTCTCTCATACTGGTCACTGCAAGTTCAACATGGCACCTCATGGCAAAGAACTCTCTGAGGATCTGAAAAAAAGAATTGTTGCTCTACATAAAGATGGCCTAGGCTATAAGAAGATTGCCAAGACCCTGACACTGAGCTGCAGCACAGTGGCCAAGACCATACAGCAGTTTAACAGGACAGGTTCCACTCAGAACAGGCCTCGCCATGGTCGACCAAAGAAGTTGAGTGCACGTGCTCAGCGTCATATTCAGAGGTTGGCTTTGGGAAATAGACGTATGAGTGCTGCCAGCATTGCTGCAGAGGTTGAAGGGGTGGTGGGTCAGCCTGTCAGTGCTCAGACCATATGCCACACACTGCATCAAATTGGTCTGCAGGGCTGTCGTCCCAAAAGGAAGCCTCTTCTAAAGATGATGCACAAGAAAGCCCGCAAACAGTTTGCTGAAGACAAGCAGACTAAGGACATGGATTATTGGAACCATGTCCTGTGGTCTGATGAGACCAAGATAAACTTATTTGGTTCAGATGATGTCAAGTGTGTGTGGCGACAACCAGGTGAGGAGTACAAAGTCAAGTGTGTCTTGCCTACAGTCAAGCATGGTGGTGGGAGTGTCATGGTCTGGGGCTGCATGAGTGCTGCCGGCACTGGGGAGCTACAGTTCATTGAGGGAACCATGAATGCCAACATGTACTGTGGCATACTGAAGCAGAGCATGATGCCCTCCCTTTGGAGACTGGGCCACAGGGCAGTATTCCAACATGATAATGACCCCAAACACACCTCCAAGATGACTACTGCCTTGCTAAAGAAGCTGAGGGTAAAGGTGATGGACTGGCCAAGCATGTCTCCAGACCTAAACCCTATCGAGCATCTGTGGGGCATCCTGAAACGGAGGGTGGAGGAGCACAAGGTCTCTAACATCCACCAGCTCCATGATGTCGTCATGGAGGAGTGGAAGAGGACTCCAGTGGCAACCTGTGAAGCTGGTGAACTCCATGCCCAAGAGGGTTAAGGCAGTGCTGGAAAATAATGGTGGCCACACAAAATATTGACACTTTGGGCCCAATTTGGACAGTTTCACTTAGGGGTATACTCACTTTTGCTGCCAGCGGTTTAGACATTAATGGCTGTGTGTTATTTTGAAGGGACAGCAAATTTACACTGTTATACAAGCTGTATACTCACTACTTTACATTGTAGCAAAGTGTCATTTCTTCAGGGTTGTCACATGAAAAGATATAATATAATAGTTACAAAATGTGAGGGGTGTACTCACTTCTGTGATATACTGTATATTCTGTGTTGTCCTGAATAAAATACAAGCAAAAAGCATGGAAAGAATTTCATGATTTAAAAAAAAATCTGCAACAGTTCTGTTAGATATGATTTTAAAAGATTTAATGCATATTTATATTATTTTATATTATAAATATATAAATTATAAATTATGGGATTATAATTTAATACAATATAATTAATATATTCATAATTAATATAATATAAATATAAATTATGGGACTGCAGTGGTGTAAACCGCAGTGCTGCTGTGCTGGTTGATCAAAAGGTTGCCAGTTCAAATCTGCACAACGGAACGAGTTCCAGTTGCTCTGTCTCAGCTCCTGCCAACCTTGCAATTCGAAAGCATGCAAATCCAATAGATAAAAAAGTACCACTTCGGCGGGCAGGTAACAGTGTTCCGTGCACTTCAGTGTTTAGTCATGCTAGCTACATGACCACAGAGACTGTCTGCGGACAAACGCTGGCTCCCTTGGCTAGGAAATGGAGATGAGCACCGCCTCCTAGAGTCAGGCATGACTGAGCTTAACGTCGAGGGGAAACCTTTACCTTTTATTATGAATATATTTAATGCATATTTACATTTTAGGAGAGTTGGCTGTAGATTCTTGTTAATGCTGTATGGGTGTATATTTTGCAATTGCTTGTATTGCAGGCTGTACAAAATATTTCACCTCAGTCCCTTTCAAAGAAAAGAAAGTTGACCAGATTATTCAAAGAAAGGTATATGGAAAATTAGTGTAGAGGCAACAAATGGCATGGGAAAAATGCAACAGTGAAAAGAATAATAAGCTATAGAAATAATTCCATTTTCAAACCAACATATTGTTACTGCTATGTACTATCAAGCTGTCTTCAACTTATGGTGATCCTATGAATGAAAGTCCTCCAAAATGTCCTGTCCATGACAGATCTGTTCAGCAGTTCTAAGTTCAAGGCTGTGTGTTCCTATTTATGGATTCAGTTCATCTCATATTTGATCTTTCTTTCTTTCTATCTTCTGCCTTTAACTTTCCCTTACACAATTGTCTTATCCAATGAGTCTAACTTTCTCATGATGTGTCCAAAGTATGATCACTTCAGTTTTTGCATCTGTGCTTGTAGGGAAAGCTCTGGCTCAACCTGGTCTAGGACCCATTTGTTTGTCTTTTTGTTGGTCCAGGGTATTTGCAAAGCTCTCTCAAGCATCAAGTTTTAAACTCATCAACTTTCTTCCTGACAGCTTTCTTCACTGTCTGTCTTTGATGCCCACACACTGTGATCAGGAACACAAAGGTGTGAATAATCTTCACTTTGGTCTCTAGTAAAATGTCCTTAACACTTGATTATCTTTTCTAGTTCCTTCATTGCTGCCTTTCCAAGTCTTAGTCTTCTTCGTATTTCTTGGCTGCTTGAATTGATGACTGAGCCAAGCCATGTGAAAACTTGTGAAGTTCAGTTAAGTTCAGTAAGTTTTCTGTGGACATGATTTTGGTTTCCTAATATTTAGCCACAGTCTTTGCTTTTTCACTTCCTTCTTTCACTTTTAATAAACTGAAACTTAATCCAGACAAGACGGAAGTCCTGTTGGTGGGTGGATTGAGCTCCTGGGTAGGTGACTTGGACCTTGCCCTGGATGGGGTTGTACTCCCTCTAAAGGACAGGGTCCGCAGCTTGGGAGTGCTCCTTGACCCGGAGCTGTCCTTGGAAGCTCAAGTGACTGCGGTGGTGAGGAGCACGTTCCTTCAGCTAATCTATCAGCTGCGTTCCTACCTGGAGGAAGACTGCCTAGCGACAGTGACACATGCATTGGTTACTTCCTAGTTGGATTTCTGTAATGCACTCTACGTGGGGCTGCCCCTGAAGACAGTCCAGATACTTCAGATGGTGCAAAATAGAGCAGCCAGGTTGCTGACGGGGACTGGGCGTTATTCTCATATAACCCCAGTCCTCTGTCAGCTTCACTGGCTTCCCATTGAAGTCCGGGCCCAATTCAAGGTGCTGGTTATTACCTATAAAGCCCTTAATGGCTTGGGACCTGGATACCTGAAGGAACGCCTTCTTCCATATTTGCCCTCCCACCCCTTGAGATCAGCAGCAGAGGCTCTCCTCTGGGAACCTTCCGTGAAAGATATTAGGAGGGTGAGTACCCGGAGGAGGGCTTTCTCTGTGGTAGCGCCCCATCTATGGAATGCACTCCCCAGAGAGGTCCGCCTGGTGCCGTTGTTATTTGTTTTTCGGCGCCAGGTTAAGACCTTTTTATTCCAGCAATATTTTAATAAGGTTTAATATTGTCTTTTCTATGTTTTTAACTGCAGCCAGTGTGGGTCAGGAATTTATTTATGTTATATTTTATGTTGTAAGCCATCCTGAGGCTTTTCGCGACAGGACGGCATATAAATATTTTAAAGAAATAAATAAATTTTATCAGGGGTTCTTTCAAGTCATTGCTGCTTTCTGCCAGTAGTATTGGCATCATCTTCATCTTTTTAATTACTTCCTTCCATCCTAATCCACCTTTCCCTATAATATGTTTTGTGTACAGAGATAAAATAGATCCTTGTCTGACACTTTTGCCTATAGGGAACAACTCTTTTTCTATTCTGCCCTAACAGTAGCTTCTTGTCCATGGTACAGGTCAGGACATCAGGACAAAAAAGTGCTGAATCACACCCATTTCTTTCAGGGTCATACGCAGTTTCTCCTGAGCTACACAGTCAAAGGCTGTGCTGAGGTCTATAGAGCATAGACTGATTGTTTCCTGAAGTTATTTGGTGTCCTTCAATGGCCAGCATATATATGCAAGATGATCTTTTCAGAATTCAGGCATTCCTTGCTTCTTATAAGGTACTATTCTTTGTTGAAATACTTTAGGTATCACTTTGCTGGTGTGAGAGATTAATGTAGTGGTCTTATGTTTGTTGCACTCTTTTGCATCTCCTTTCTTGGGGATTGGAATATATATTGAATATTTCCAGTCTGTGGACTATTGTTTTATTCTTATTTATTTAATTAAAGCTTTAATATCCCACCCTTCACAGTGTCTCAGGGTGGTAATACAATAAAATAAATACATAAGATACAGCATCCAGATAATAATATATAAAATCAATCCTAAAACACTGCTAACATTTAAAATAATGGGAAAATAAAAAGATTTTGGCCTGACACAGAAATAAAAACAAGCATCAGCACCAGGTGCACCTCTCTGTGGATTTTTTAATTTCCCATATTTGTTGGCGTATTCTTATTAGGATTGGAACTGATTCATTTTCTCCAGCTTGGAATAGCTCTATTTGTATCCTATCTACTCTGGGTGTTTTATTCTTTGCAAATAAATACTTTCAAAATAGCTTTCTCTTTGTTTGCTAAAATCCCAGGCTTTTCTTCATATGATTCTTCTTTAAAGAAGTCTGTTGTCCTTTCACCTTTTCTGTATAATTTTTCTGTATATACTTTCCACCTTCTCTTCATTTTCTCCCGGTCAGATGGTGTGTTCCCTTGTCTGTCTTCTAGCATTCTTAATCTAGGTTTGAATTTTCCTTTGATTTCTTGGAAGAGGTCTCTTGCTTTTCTTCTTTTGCTGTTTCCTTCTATTTCTTTGCACTGGCCAGTGCAATAGTTCTTTTTGTCTCTATGTGATAGTCACTGAAAAGTTGCATTTAGGATTCTGACCCTATTTCTGTCATATGTTCTTTTGCTTTTCACTTGTCATTTGCAATTGTTAATGTTTCCCTTGTCATCAATATAGACGTTTTCTTTCTTGTATCTACAGGAATTGTATTTTGGCATTCTGCCCTAATAATGTCTCTGGTTTCAGTCCATGGTTTTTCTGGCTCATGATCAATTAAGTTGAGTAACTCAAGTCTGTTCTTTACGTGGACTTTAAATTCTTCAGGGAAATTGCTTAAGTTATACTTTGGCACTCTGTGATCTTTTTCAGCTTTACTCCGATCTTTGAAATTGGGAACTGATGGTCACTATCGCAGCCTGCTCTTGGTCTTATCTGCTTAGCAAAAATACAACTTCTCCACTTTGTGATTTCAATTACGTAACCTATTTGATTTTTTCTATCGGTCATCTGGTGATGTCCAAGTATGCAATATTTTTTTTAATTGTTTGAAGTGTGTGATTGCAATGAACAGGTTGTTGACTTCACAAAATTATTCAAGCCTTCTCCTGCTTCATTTCTGATTCCTAGGCCAAATTGCCCTGAACATTTCATTTTGTTCTGTTTCCTAGTTTTCAATTCCAGTCACCTAGGATTAGCAGCATGTCTTGTTTTTGTGTGTTAGCAATTTCCTCTTGAGCACCTTCATAACATTTTTTTCTATTTCTTCTTCACAAATAGAGTGTAGACTTGAATGATGGTTATGTTGATAGGTTTTCCTCTAATTCTGAGTGATACTGTCTGGTTAAATTTTGCATTATAGCTCTTTACTGCCTGTGCTACATCTTGCCTTAGTATTAGAGCCATTCTATTTCTTATGAGTTTATCATCTTTGGACTAAAACTTTGTGTTTGTCTGATTGGAAATGTCTGATTCTAGTCCACTTAGTTCACTCACACCAAGCACTGCATTGTTCATTCTTTCTATTTCTTGCTTTATGATTTCCAGGTTGCCTTGATTCATGCTACTTACGTTTCATGTCTCATTTACATGTGTAATACAGCATCAGACTTTCCTTTAACCTCTGTGCATGTTTGCTACCAGACAACTTTTCAAGTTTGTTTAGTAGCATCATTAGCCACAGCACTACTGGGATTTGCCCTTTGCTCTTCTCCAGTAGCTTGTAATGTGCCTTCCAACCTCATCTCATCTTCTGGCACTATTCTTTCTTTCATTTTTGATTGTTTCATCATAGGGTTCAGAAGCAGATTACCACATTCTCCTTCTGCATAGTATTAAGCAAAATTAGCTTGAGTGTTACTGCCATTGAAAAATCCTCCCCCAGTGTCGCCTTTAGCTATTGTTGCTGCCCAATAACTGCCTTTTAGAAGTTTCTCTACCCCCAGCTCATTACTGAAATTCATTCTCTTTTTGCTGATATGACCATTATGCCTGAGGAGCATGAATGCATCTTAGTCTGGTGTCTCAGCCTTGATAATTCCATCTTGGGTGACCCTCTAGGAAACTAGCCTAGTGAGACCATTCTGGCTTCCTGTTGGCATTGCTCTCCATAACAAACATTTAAATAGGGTTAGAGTTAAATAACACATCTCAGCAAATTTATATTTGGTATAGTGATTGATTCAGGATAATGAATTTGTTTGTTTCCAAGAGCTGTTTTTTTGTTTGTTTGCTTTTGATATTACCTCAGTTCTTCTTTCTCCTATTTACACTTTAATGTGTAAACTGGAACATGTCATTCTCATCCATGGTGTCTTGGAGTTCCAGATGAAATCTCATTCATTTCATGCAGCGGTAAGCAAAGATTGTGTGTTATTGTGTTTAAATCTGTGTATTTGGTAGCTTCATGAACTGGCCTCATAGGTGAAACATCAAATAAACTACTAGAGTTTAGAGTTCCTAGAATATGCTTGTGGCATCTTTAACAAAGTACAACTTTCTTGTATTGTCTCAGTGCAGTGTTCTTAGTACGCCATAGGACTACACGCCAGCGGTTTGCAATGAAGAAGATCAATAAGCAGAACCTCATTTTGAGGAACCAAATTCAGCAAGCCTTTGTGGAGAGAGACATCCTAACCTTTGCAGAAAATCCCTTTGTTGTCAGCATGTTCTGCTCCTTTGAAACAAAGCGGCACCTGTGTATGGTCATGGAATATGTGGAAGGTATTGTTTCCCTACCACAGCATTTACTTAGTTAGTATGACATCGTTGTTAGAGTACTGGACGGGATGCTGGAGAGCTAGGTTGTAGGCCCCACTCAGCCTACTCAACCTGACAAGGTTATTGTTGTAAGGATAAAATGAACCTATGTAAGCCACATTGGGTTCCTACAAAGAGGAAAAAAGTGGGATATAAACTATGTAGCAATAATGCTACTACCAGTAATTAATAGTTATACTCATCCTGCATATTGATCAAGATGGGCTTCCTTATAAAAAAAGTAGAAAGAAAACATTGTATATGCTGATTTACTATTTTTTATGCCTGCAGGTACTCTCCAATATTTTCTTAATCTAGGATTTGCCTTTTACATCCTTTTTCAACTAAAAGATTAATTAAATTGAGCCTGTTTATCATGGTTTATTGGCTAAATTTGATATAGAAGCTGCAAGTAGCAGTAACTGACTTTTACGTGGAAGGGACAAAAAGTTGGGGAATGTTCAGAGAAAATGAAATCTTACGATATGTTCCTGGAGTATGTTTGCTGTTAAAATAGCTGTGGATTTCCAAGAAAGCTAATGACTTATACTGATGTTCAGAGGAGTGATGCTTGGCAGATACTGGTTGTGCTTCCATGTCATGCTAAGCTACTCAGTGTGGGTTGTTCACAGATTAACCCATGGTACATTTGAAAGATGATTGGGCTTACTGTGTCTTATTCTTGCCTTTCTTTCCCCTTAGTCTTTCAGCTGTCTCCATGTTCCTCAAACTGTCTTTCTGTTTCCATACTGATCTATACCTGTTTTTATTAGGCACCATCTTAGGTTTTTTGTTTTTCTCAGAGCTTCAAAAATGTACAATTGAAATAGTATTTTTTGTTTTCCCCCTGAAATCTTTATGGTAATAGCGGTTGCCTTTTTCATGTGTACTCTTACATTCGTCCAGTTAAAAATATGGTGAACCAGTGATGGTGAGCCCACTGCCACTTGTGGATCAGGACAGGGGCTGTCAGTGGTAGTGGTGCAGGCAAGATTGAGAGGAATGGATTGCTAGCCTAACCCTGCAACCCAAAATGTAATTGTTCTCCTGAGCTTAGATGACACAAGAATCCATGGTGATACGATGCACAAGCTAGAGTTTGTCAGAGAGTCTTATTCCTAAAAATAAGCCAGCCTGTGAGAAGTTGTTTAAGTTCAGATGACAGAACAGCCCATCATATGGCTAAGTATCCACACAGGCTTATTGAAATGTGCTAATCCATTCAGTGTGCCTGTGGGGGTAGGAGGGGTATACTGTGAGCTTTAGGATGCAGTCCTATGCAACTTGAAAGAGAGAAAAGCCTGACAAATTCCATTCATCCCTCCTCAGCCCATTGTAGTGTAGTCATCATGGAGCTGTCCTTAACTACTATCCAGAAGCTTCAGAAAATAGAGCATATGGGTTCCCATCTCTTCACAGAGTGGCCAGTGATGATGAGAGTTGTGGTTCAGCATACTTGGAGAGCACTAGAATGGGAATGCTTAGGATAGATCAAGATCCTGATTGGCACAGTTCTCAAACCCAGTATCCCCCGATTTTGTGTTCTACCTCAGTCTACATGATGAATTAAACATTTCCTCATCTGTTTGCCCTTTGCATACTAAGTGAGGAAGGAAAGCTACAACAGGCATTATTATTTGTTGCCCCATAACTGTAGATCTCCCTACTCTTAGAGACTCTCTAAAGACTGAGCAGTTTTTTAGAACTGCACAATCTTTGTTATGTTTCATTCCAACTAGCTTTTTAAAAAGGTCATTATGTCATACCCAGTAAGCACAACTGTTGTGGTAATGCTGTGAAGCAATATCATTTTATATTGGACACTGATATTGCTGAGTAATGCAGATCATCCTCCTGTATTTTTACCACTATGTGTTATGTTAAGTATTACCATTTCAGTTTTTTAAAAAAATGTTTATATTGTGGGCAACATTGAGATACTGATTTGGTCCTTGACTAAGTAAGACTGCCCATTCTTTTTCAGCACTACTCTACTATTTTTCAACTCTTTTGCCCCTTTTTCAACTTTCCATACTTTCAGCAAGAAAAACTCAAGAGCTTCCCCAAAGTATAACCCCAGTATAAAGGAAGATATTAGAGAGCAATAGTGTATTAGAAAACTTCTGTTCTATATCCATTAATCTGAGAGTGAGACCCATTGAACTCAGTGGGATGTTTTTGAGTAGACATGTATAGGATTGAACTGTGTGTCAGGTTTGTCTGCTTTCTGATAATTAACACAAGTGTTTCACATCTTTTTCTGTTTTCATTGTGATCTAGGAGGAGATTGTGCAACTCTGTTGAAGAATATTGGAGCTTTGCCTGTTGATATGGCAAGGATGTATTTTGCAGAAACTGTGTTGGCGCTGGAATATCTCCACAATTATGGCATCGTCCACCGTGACCTGAAGCCCGACAAGTATGTCTTTAACTTGTCATGTCTGGACCTGTAGTTGCAGCTGTCCATGCTAAAATTAGTTACAGGAACAACATGTGCCATTTTCTCTCTCTGGCAAGGGCAATTTTTATTTTTAATGTTTGTTCTTATTTAGCTGTTCTTGACAGATGTTATATTGTGATTATCTCAGTAAAACTGGGATAAATTCAAAGTGAGAATCACATCGGATAGCGCAAAGTCTTAGAAAAAGCTTCCACTTGCACTAGGATTTTTTTTCTTAATCTCAACTGTCATGAGGGAGGATTTTCAGGAGGATTGCAGAACTCGGGAAAGGATGGGTCAACTTTTCTCACAAAATCACCAACCGCTCATGCTTAGAAACCAAGTATTCATTGGCAACAGTGGAAGCTTTGTTTCTTAAACCTAAGGGGTGTGGGAGAGGGGTTCTTTAAGATACCCAGGTCTCTGTCAGTAATCTTCACACACATGCACAGAAGCTGCTTTTCATCAAATTCCAGGATACTTGGAGCTTTAGTTTTTGTAAACATCTGCTTCATTGAAATATAGCGAGTGAAGACTAAACATTTATATAAATGTACATTTTAAATCTTGATGTATTAAAGTACCCACTGAAGCTTTTGTAGTTTTTTCACTGGGTTTTCTACAAGACCTAATATGTGAGACAGTAAAGTAATAACATGTCATCAACTGTTTTGGTACATAAGGCTATGGCATTGTCATTTATTTGAGTCTTCATAAATGGCACTGTTCTGTGTACCTTTTTACAGTCTTCTTATAACATCAATGGGTCACATCAAGCTGACTGACTTTGGCCTCTCTAAAATTGGCTTAATGAGTTTGACAACCAATCTGTACGAAGGACACATTGAAAAAGATGCCAGAGAATTCTTGGATAAGCAGGTAATGTGTAACTGCACTTTTGAAACCTCTGGTTTTTATCCAGCACTGCAATAATGGCACATTCCATTCTTTAAAGTGTGCATAGTGCATGTTGGTGACATAGACATCTTTGACCTAGGAATAGCATAAAAAATTTCAAGTTTATTTAAGGTTTCTGAAAATACAGCAACCAGAATTCAGTTCAATTTTGGACTAACAAGTTAAACTCATCCTAATCATGCATATGTTACTTCAGATATTTTTGGGAAACTTTGAGAATTCTAACGTGTATATAATTAATAATAAACCTGTGGCATTGTTGCACAACTTGGTGTTAATTAATCAGAAATATAGAAGGTATTTGTATTAACAGATACATTTTTTTGCGAAAGAGCTTCAGTTGTAAAAGTACAGAATTTTCTCTTCTAAGTTTGCAAAGCCTTTTTCAGAAAACTGGGACAATATGCATAACTCCTGATCACTGTTCTATGGAGTTTTATAGTACTGAATCTTTTATTTAGCATTTTTCCACTAGGAAGGCTAGTCTACATACCATGAACTATGTACAGTAACACTGCTTTTAATAAATGAGCTTTTACAACTTTTTCTACCCTTTTCTGTTCAGGTGTGTGGGACTCCAGAGTACATTGCACCAGAAGTGATCTTGCGTCAGGGTTATGGAAAACCTGTGGACTGGTGGGCGATGGGAGTAATCTTGTATGAATTTCTTGTTGGCTGCGTTCCTTTTTTTGGCGATACACCAGAAGAATTATTTGGGCAAGTTATTAGTGGTATGTATCCTACCTTTATAAGCAGATGTTACCTATATTTGGTAAATAGCTTCAAGACCACTTAGTTGACCAACACTCATATATTTGAAGACACATGGAATAAATATGCTCTGGCATTTTTTAAATTTAACTCTATTCATTATTTAGTTTTAGAAAGGTTCTATCCTATCCCATGGCTGGGAAGTATTTGGAAGGAAGTCCAGGGCAAACCCATTTGTTTCTCAGCCACAAAATGCACATCCATTTGCCCTTCTATTTAGTTACCAGCCATGAAATTTGTGTCTATTTCTCAGTCAAAATGATGCACAATATTTCCATTCAGTTTTTAAAAAAAGAATTTCAGGAATCACAACAATAAAAAAACCTATGAAGAGTGGTGGGGACTGTTAATCACTCCCATAACTAATGACACAGGGAAGTGACAATAAGAACTGTCAGTTCTACATTTGAATCACAGAGGATTTCATTGCCCAGGGAGAAATCTTTAACTGACAGCAACTGTGTTCAAATTATCTTCCGTGTACTTGCAGATTACAATTTAGATTACCAGCATCACTTAGCTTTTGAGAACTGAAACTTCTTTTTTGTGGTGTCTCTGTAACACATATATGGGCTTAGTGGCACTGGAGAGCCTGTTGTCTGGAAAGTTCTATAGTTAAGTGTTCGATTGGGTGAGAGGCCTCCCATTCCTCTTCCGGGAGAGCATGGCAGAGACTCCTGCCCATCACTTTAATTCCTTTTTGACTACCATCAAGCCTAGATTAGGAAGTGCTTCTCTCCTCGCTTGACTGCCGAGAATCCCTTTATTTCCTTTTTAACTTTTCTTCACTAATTCCATTCTCTTTCACAAATTGCTCACGCTTTTACCTTTAAAAATATATAAATACCTTCTACCCTCTTTGTAGTTCTATGCGTCCTGCATCTAGTTGCCTTTGCCTCTGTTCTTTCCTGCCTTCCCCATCTACCTCAGTGGCGTCCTTGGTAGCATTTAGGAGCTTCGTCCACAGTGACAGCAGATTCCTTAACTCTGACCGCCACTCCCTCTGCCTCTACTGCCTGGGTAGGTGACATGTTGAGGAGGCCTCTTCTCATTGCCAGATCTTCACAAAACAAACCCCGAGAAAGTGAGCTGACTGCCTGAAAGCTGAACTTTGGAAGAAAGCACCTCTGGTCACCCCATGTCTGCAGCTGCCTTCACCCAAAAAAAAAAAAAAAAAAAAAAAAAAAAGGCACCGCAAGAGCCCATGTCAACCCCCAATCCCGAGGATCTGCTTGGCCTTGCCCTCTGACCAGTTGTGATCCCTGACACCAAGGAAAGACCCAGCCCATGCCATGTGAGAAGATAGCTCCAGAGACAGCTCCACCAGATTTCCAAACTGACTGCTATCCCAGGTATCACCAGTGAGGTGTGAGCCAACACCACTGCCTTCTGAGATGGATGCCACCACTCTCAGAGAACAGCTTGATGCCAAGGCAATCCATCCATGCCTTGCTGGCATCGACACCATGATCAGCAACTGGGGGACACCAGGACAGATCCTGCTTTCCCCTCACTGAATGCAACAGATCCTCTGATTGGTCACCGTGCAACATTTCTGAGAGGACTCCAGAGTGTCATGTGAGAATGACCAGAGCTTTCGCTACCAGGATGACAACATGCCTTGGTACCGAGAATGTGGATACCAAGATGTTGACACCAAAGTGCTGACTTTGAGACAGCACCCTCAGCGCCAAGACAACACATTGATGCTGCATCACCACAAGACTTCATTGCCAGATCACCCTGAGGGCATGGTACTGAGTTGACACCAATCACTAGCACCTTCAACATTGAGGTCCCAGAGACTGAGGGCACCATCCGCCTTATCTGGCCCAGAGAGCTGCTCCTCAGATCCAGAGTTTATCGTGGCCCCATCCACCTCATCCACCGCACAGGCCACAGCAAAATGATTGGAGAGTATTTACAGAGTGTTGGGAAAGGATGTTCCATTTCTTTTCCAACACCCAAGACGAAACTTGGTAATAGTAGAGTCTGTGCAAGGGACAAGAGGAAGCACATGGTGCCAGTGGACCAAGAGGGCTACCTGGATGGCATGATGAGGTGAGTCTATGCAGTCTTGGCACTCAGTCTCTATCTAATGATGAGGCCACCATGACTCAGTTCCAGCTGTTCCTGTAGAACAAGATCAGTGTCACATATGAACACATGCCTGATGACTACAGGGACGTGGCCTGGGTGTTCCAGACAGATGCCTCCAAGCTCACCTGACTGCAAATCGCTGCAGCCAGACACCACATTGACTGTGACACCAAGACACCAATCAGCACCATGACCATCCGCTGACATGCCATCCACTCCATGGGATTCCTGCAAGAGATCCAACCCTGCACTGAGGATCTCTTTGACATGGCGGGCTTTTTCAGTGCACAGATGAGTACCTACAAAAAGCCAGGTTGACAGTACAGCACATGGGTTTCCAGCAGCAAGTGACCAGACCATGTTAGTGGTCTTGGGCCCCTTACCCCCAACAGCAGAGGAAGGCTTGCACCAAATACTTTTCTAGGATCCAGCCAGCCCCCGAGCACAAAAGGCATGATTGCACTGCCTGCTTTAGGCAATTATGAAAGCGTCCAGCGAGGGACAAATGCCACTGTTAATTGCTCCCACTGGCACCCCTCCCCCCTTCATCCAACTGCAGTACCTTTGATGGATGTCTTGCCCAGTTCCTTGCTCCATGGAAAGTGATAACTACACAGGAACTCATGGCTCCTATCCATCATGGAAAGAGGTTACCAGATTGAGTATGACACCCTCCCACCCCTTGGCACTATGCACCCTCCCACCCCTTGGCATGCTCCCATCTTCTGGTGCTGCTGTCAGAAGTTGATACTTTACTGTCCAAGGGGGCCACAGAGAGAATCCATCAACATCACCAGAGGCCGCTGTTCTTGATGCTTCATGGTACCAAAATGGGATGGGGTACTCAGACTGATTCTGGACTTCAAGAGACATCAATCTATCATACCAAGGAAGTTCTGGATGGTCACCTTGCAGAGCATCCTGGTCAATTTTCATGTCTGTTTCAGCTAACAAATTGAGCACAAAGAAGCATAGATAAGAGACAAGAAAATTGACGAGCCAGGCTTACATATAGGATAATTTGCACATAGTTGCTAGGGACCAATTGCTAAATTTTCAAGTGAAAAGCCAGTGAATGAGGGGAAGCAGCAAAAGAAGGTACACCAAAAAGGGGGAGGGGCAGTATCTTTCCCTTAGCAGTACAATCCTTTTTACTTTAAGTGTTGAACTGTCAGTTCTCAATGTCCTCTGCCTTTTCAGCACTTCCCAGATTTTCCAACTGCTTCAGAAAAGGAAAATACCAACTTCTTGCATTTTTGTGCTCCCTTTCAAAGCAGTTACTGCTGCAGGTATTACGGTTTCCTGATACAGTAGGGTTGTTGTTGTTGTTTGACAATAACAATAACAACTGCTACTCCAAAAATATGGACACAGTTGTGCAGTTGTCAAGAGATGAAAAAATAAAAACATAGCACATACCAACTGTTATTTTTTGAGGGTCTGGAGGGGAAAAATATGAAATGAACTTAACAAAAAAGGAGAGCAATTGGAAAGGGAGATAAAAGGTTCTGCCTTGAAGGTTGTTGGAGGACTGGCTGGAGAATCAAGGCAAAAGAAGAAGATCAACAGGTGCACCATTGGCTGTTTGGTGAACACCCACACTGCATAGCTTACTCACATGTTGGCTTAGCATGTTGTGTGAATGTGGCTACTGTGTATCTTAAGATCATTTTAAAAAGGAACCTGTAGCCTTACACAATTCTGTGTTTTAATCTTTTCATCAGAGCTTATTTTGCCACTTATAGTTTGGTCACAACTTATGTACTGTATGCGCTACTACATGTTATAGATTTTGCTGTATGCCAACTTTCATTCAAGAACATGAGGCAACTACAACTTCTTCGTCGTGGCCTCTGTGCATCACACATAAGGGTTCTGCACCTGCACAGTGCCTTTGGCCAGAAGATTAACAGCTAACACTTTTTGGCGGGAACTCTGCTCCCCCTCCCCCCTAGCATTATATAAGGAGCGGACTGTCCGCCATTTTCCAGTCTTTGCGACCGCCGTTCGTTGTGCCTCGTGCCGCTTCGCTCTCGCTAGGATTATTACTTCTTGCTCGTTCGAAAACCTCTCCTTTTTCCTACCAAGTTTGTATCCCTTGTTCTTGTTGTTAGTACTTCACTTATATTTCTTCTTAACTTTGCACCATTTTTTCCTCTTTACCGTTCCTATAAACAAAAAACAACCAAAAATACTACTTTCCTGCTTTACTGTCCCCTTTTTTTCTTCTTTCTATGATGGCGCAACGGGCGGCGTTCTGCAAGTGCGGAAAATGCGGCTCCAAAATGCCTGCTGCGGACCCGCATGATCTGTGCCTCCTTTGTTTGGGGGAAGGGCACAGAACCGATAAGTGCGGCCATTGTTTGGCCTTCTCTAAACAGGCGAGGGAGAACAGGGAGAACCGCCTCCGCAAACTCTTATGGGACCAGGCTCTCCTCCAATCGGACAGGCTGGTGGCTAAGCCTTCCACTGTTGTGGCCCCACCCGAAGGCCGTCCAACTTCGGCTGACCTGCCACAACGCCCGGCCTCTTCCTCCATTGCTCCGCCCTCACGCCCTTCTGAAGAAGGCGCTCATACCATGGCCGACCAGTCTGTTTTCCTGCCGAGGAAACAAAAGGAAAAAAGAAAGCACAGCGACTCAGATAAATATCCTGTGCATAAGAAGGCCAAGAAAGATAAGACGGGCAAGCCGGTTAAGAAGCCGAAGAATCCCGAGCAGGCAAAACACCGCCACTCGGGCTCGGCCTCTTCCTCGATTCCAATCCCTGCTTCGGAACTGACCCCCTCGGTCCCGACCATCCAGGCAGCTATGAGGGTTACCCCACCAGGCCCACCGCGCCGACCGACAGCCGAACTCAT